CGCTATATATCACGTGACATCCGGTCCACAATAGGCATAGAATATCTGATGAGCTCAAGTTAGCTGCAGATTATATGCCTGGGAGATCTGGAACTTTGAATTTACGGCTTATCCACGAAGATGATGTCGCATGGCCTATCGGCAGCCTTCACGGTGTTGACAGCGATGTTACCGTCCTCGGTTGAATCAACTAAGTGGTATTTTTACTTGTCCAAAAGGTTCGAATCAGCTGTAAGTTTATCTTATTTTCATCAATCAACAAGATGCGTGGTCCATTTTCTCCGGATGTGGCAACAGGTGAATCTCCAGCTTTTGTCTTACTCAACTTGGACGAATTCTGAACCTCTGGCACCAATGGCGCAGCGATTGAGCTGGAAATGGAAGTTTATTCCCGTTGTGCTCAGTGTCCGTAGATCGAGCATGGATTTGCCATTTGCGCATTTTGAGTAAGTTGTGATACAGACATTGTGCCATTGGGTTGGGCAGGGATAGATTCTTCTATCTGATTAAGAGCTGGCAGATCCAGCTCCCTATAAACATTGGTCTCGGCGGTAATAGGCAAAGTCTCAAGCCGGCGATACTAGTATGTGTGGGATTGAGAAGCTGCAGCTTTTCCAAGACGACTTCGAAGTGCTCTTGCTAGTTCATGCCGCCCATCAGGCTTGGAAATGTATTCATAACCCGAGTCCCTGGGTTGCAAATCCTAAGTGTCCGCTTCCGCCTCGTGATGCCTCAGCGCCGTCCCACACTATCTCCGCTTTCTTCAAAGTTCAAAACACGCGCGTTCTCCCGAATATCCCATATCCATACCAATCAGTAATGTAGCAGGCAAGAACTTTGGCATACATAGTACTCCTGAGATTTCCATGTCCTTCGATCATCATGGAAATACTCGTACATGGCCACGGGGCAGCCAACTTCTTCTTCCCGTAGCGATTGAACAGAATCATCACGCGTGACAGCAGTATTAGTTCAACGCGGCGTTTGTGTGGGTCGACTCTGAATCCAGTGGAGGTCTCATCAGCGGTAGAGTCACCTGCACGGTAGAGCCTTTACCCCAGTCTGGTGCAAATTTCAGTACTGCCGCCCATCGTAGAGCACATGCTCCACATGATGGACAGTCTCAGTCCCCTGCCAGGAGAGAGAAGGGTTCCTAACTTAGTACTGTACTAACTAGTACGATCTCAACTCGTTAGACGGGTCATTCCGTATGATCGCGGCGGCTCACCCGTGCAAAAGGAACAAACTAGGGGGTTAACAGAAACCTTGTTAATATTCCCTCCCCAGTACCCATTATCAGATCAGTGTATCCATCAAATTCAATAAACCAAAGCATGACCCCATTTGATTTGCCTATCTAGTCCCAGAGGTCGGTTTGATTTGATTTATTTGTCAAATGGAGTTGAATGTTAAGTAGTAAGCCATGTTTTGTTAGGAGGACTGTCAAGGGTTATCATCTCAGAAAAAGACTCCGCCAAGACCTTTATATTTCATTAAAAATGACACTGTATACTTATCTTAAAGTCTTGATTTGATTTGACGAAAGCACGGATTTGGGTTATTTGCTAAGCATTGGAGGAGTCATTTGCCGCACTAAGTAGGCTCAGCTGGCTGTAACTTCTTGACCTAATCCATCTGTGCAGAAATACAGAACACCTATCCATTCGTATTCAAAGATCGCGCGATTGTCTATGCGCCAACAGCATGAAGGGACTTGACCGTATCCTTTACGCATTCCTCCAGAGATCTATACTCCAGCCCCAAAATCTTCCGAGAGCGACTATTGTCATACTTGTATACTTCCCCTTGTATATCTCCTTCAGTACTTTCTGGTGGGAGTTGGGATCGCGATTCGGGAAAGTTCTTCCTTATACATTCGGCGATGTCTCTGTTGCACGTGTGTCCAGCTGTCACAAAAAATCTCTTACCAGCCGCCTCAGGTATTTCAATGGCCTTGACGTGAGCGATCGCTAGATCTCGGACATCCACCCAGATAAAACTTCCCGTAGGGGCCAGCTCGTCTATCATCTTCCCTTGCATGCTATCTCTTATTCGTGCATTAGACGTGTTGATGGCCTGGAGAGAATTAAGATAATGTATCACAGGCCCGAAGACCAATGGAGGGCAGAGCGTAGCCAACTCAAAGTTAGGCTTCTCGTTCCTGACAAAGTCCCAAGCTGCCCTTTCCGCGAAGGTCTTACTTGCTCGGTAGCTTGAGACCGGGTCCTCAAGAGCCTCTTCCATTGTCACTGGGTTCCAATCCTCTTCAGAGTAAATCCTCGGGTGATTTTTAGGGTTGGTAATTGCTGCGAAGGACGATGTGATCGCAACCCGCTTGACATTTGGTGCACTAGCTTTGATAGCTTTCAATATTTCTGTGGTCCCGATTATGGCAGGATCAAGCAAATCCTTCTTCGGATCCGTGATATTGAAGTGGTAAGGGCTAGCAGTGTGTATAACTGCATCAAACGGGGGATCAGAAACAACAACTTCATCAAATGCGCCTTCTTCAGCGATGTCTTTTACGATGACATATGAAAGCTTCCTCTGAGGAACACCCTTGTGATTCTCTAAAATCTTCCGACCTTTCTCTTCCGATCTCACGGTGGTGACAACGTCGTGCCTGGAAGCTGATCAGCAGGAGATATGAAATGTTAACGAACTTCTTCACAAACCCATGTTCCAGGAGCTGATCCAGGATGTGTGCCGCAATGAAGCCACTGCCACCAGTGAGAAGGACCTTCATTGTTACTGCTATCGAATTGGGTCTGTGTGTTCGTGTGGAGCGCTATTGGCTCAAATCGTCAATTCTGTGGTGGTCGTTGTGGAGCAGTATGCTATGATATGCAGATGTGTGATGCTTAGGAGTCTAGGATCGACCCTGCAGAAGATGAAATATATACTCCGTACACAGAATGTAGTGACAAGTGCCAAGGCCTCACATCGTTGTGATTAAAAATAAAGATACCAAAAGTTCGGATGAAATAGCTCCACAGGTGCTTAACCCCGTGACAACCCGCTGTACGGAGCACTATACTTCAACTGTACGGAGTACGAGTACATACATTCCGGCGCCATCTTTAAGCATTAACAATTTTCTATTGGGTATAGTATGAAGTGATCCTGGTGAAGTATGGGTAGTGATAGCCAATGAAAGCATCTCTATCCCTCAAAGTTGGTGTTTCCGGCAGCTCTGTAGTGACGCAGTATATGAAATACATGTCTTGGTAATAAGGGTGGGTACGGTAGCATAAGAATAGGGACACATCAACCACTCCGCCAAAAGGACCTCTTATTCAACGAAAAATGGCCGAATCCTATCAAGAAATTGAGGATAGAATTGATGATGCTATTTACGCGTTAAACGAAGCCGAATACCCCAATATCTCGCAAATAGCGCGCCAATTCGACGTTCCTCCTCAACGACTTCGAAGAAGGTTCAAGGGCGTTCAAAATAAGATACAATGCGGGGGGAATAATAAGAAGCTCAATGAGGACCAAGAGCTTGCTCTTTGTCACTATCTTGATCGATTAGACGAATCAGGAGTGAGTGCACGCCCTCAAATGCTTCAAAGCGCTGCGAATTCTATCCTTGAACGTGCCCACAGCAATTCTACCACTGCCCCCCCTATAGTCAGCAAAGATTAGTCTTGACGCTTTCTACAACGCCATCCGAAGGACGTTATAAAGAAGAGAAAGCCTCTCTCTATTTAATAAAAGTTTACGCATAATCAAGAGGAGATACAAGCTCATTTTGAGCGATTTCGTAAGACCAAGACAAAATACGGTATTCTTGAAGAGGATATCTATAATATGGATAAAACAGGCTTTCAAATAGGCGTTGATCAAGCGTACAAAGTTATTATACAAAAGAAAAACGCTTAATTGCCCTCTTTTATTAATGATCCTGATAATTGCGAATCTCTTACTTTTATTAAGTGTGTAGGCGCTAATAGATTTGTTCTGCTACTAATTCTTATAGTGGCGCTCTAAACCCTCTTAAAGGCCATATTTATTAATGAATTATCTTCGGTTCTGCCACCAATTCTTGTAGTGGCGCTCCAAACCCTCTCAGAGGCCACATTTGTTGACGAATTGCCTTCGAATTATCTTATTACGTGTAGCGAAACTAGATATTCGAATACTAATATTCATAATAAGTGGATTCATTATTTTGATAAATCTACAAAAGCTATTTCAAAGGATGTATATTAATTACTAATTTCAGACAGATTTAATACCCATTTTGAATTCGAATTTATACAATATTGTTAGGATAATACTATTATTCCCTTCTGCCTTCCTCCTTATTCTATATATCTTCTACAACTACTTTATTATATGACTTGGCGATTACTTATTTTCAAGAGCAGCCTTTTTGACTAATATCCACGAAATTCGTACGCAAACTTTCAAAAATTCTACAATTTTGAGTGCTTTTCGAGAGACTGGCCTTATACCCTATAACCCAAACGTTGTTATTGCCAAATTATCTCTACCACTGGCCTTTGATTCTGAAAATAACTCTAATAAGTTAGATTCATTAGATATCTTAAAAACGCCCAAAAAGGTCTACGAAATTGCTTAATTCGCAGAGATTATTCAAAGGGATATTAAGTTTGATTCAGAGAGCGAATTACTTGTGCACAAATTTATTAAGGGTGCTATAACGCGCGTACAATCAGGGGCCCAAGCAGAGGCGGATTTGGAGCACACTCAATTGGCCGAAGCAGCACGCGCTGCGCGTGCGAAAGCCACGCGCCGTACCGTACAAAAAGGGGGCATTATTACTGTTGAGAGGGCCAAGGAGCGAATTCGATTACGTACACGAAGGGAGCAAGAGAGTTGGGAGAAGAAGGAGTACTCTCGGCGTCAATGCCCTAAACGGGAAAGACCCAAATTCGTACGCTTCTATAGGGCTATTTCTGCGCATGCCCGTCTTCGTATCAGTGCTATGGACTATGAGGACCAATTGGAGTATCAAATTAGCGATGAGGGGGGGCAATAGCTATAGAAATAGAAAAAATTTATCGTTGCGCTGCGATTTTTCGTTGCGCTGCGGTGCACTAAGCTGCAAAGCTTAGTGCAACTGAAAGTGCACGGTTAATTGATGTACCCCTCACTGACTGCATAGAGCTTAAATCCACCCAAAGTTCCGAGACGCTGGAGTCCTAACTAGTATTTACTCCGCAGCTGGGAACATATTTTGAGTGGTGAACCTCACGCTCACATCACTTTCTACCTTGAAATATCAGAATCAACGATGGGCAACGATGGTGGTAGGTGAGTACAGATGCTCTTTCCTTGCGGATTTGTCTCTGATATGATACAGCATTCCAACCCGACGTGAACTTGTCAAAGAGACAGCGCGGAATCTTACCACCACAGAGCTTAAAGAAACACAGAAAGAGCATTTAGCACATCGATGGTCGTGGTGTCCACTCTCACATAGACCTCTGCGGCGGCCAGTCGTTTCGGATTGCGCTGGGCTCTTGTACAATAAAGATGCTGTATTACAATATCTGCTGCCGGATGAGGCGTCTACGCTCAATAAGGAGGATTGCGACAAGATGCTGGAAGGTCGAGTCAAGAGTCTCAAGGATGTCATTGAAGTCCATTTTGAGGTGGATATAGATCAGTTCATGGACAAGGAAAGGTGGATATGTCCAGTCACATCCAAAGAGCTCGGGCCAGCCGTGAAAGCAGTGTATCTCGTACCCTGTGGACATGCCTTCTCGCATGAAGCTATCAAAGAGATGAAGACAGAACATTGCCTGCAGTGTGATCACTTGTATGAATCTAATAACATCATCACACTGTTCCCCGCTACGGAAGCAGAAAAGACTGGCTTACGAGAACGTATAGAAGATCTCGCTAACAAGGGTCTCTCACACTCTCTAAAAAAGGCATCTGGATCTTCGAAAAAGCGAAAGGCGAACAAAATTGCTAGAGAGGAGCAGGTTGCAGCAGATTCCACACCTCAGATCACCGATATTGCAAAGTCGTCCGCATCACGATCGCAAACTTCGACTCCTCTACCATGCCCATCTACACCTCTTTCGGGCACATCCACGCCCAAGCTTCCCAGCGGCATCAAGAATGCAACAACTGCAAACTTGACTGCAAAAGTGCTCGAAGAGGAAACCGAGCGGAAGAAAAGACGATTAGTTAGTGGTGAGAATGAGACCTTGAAGTCCCTATTCACGAAGAAGGATGATAAGAAGAAGCTTGGAGATGGAAATTTCATGACAAGAGGGTTTTCAATACCAACCAATGCTAGGTATGACTGAATGACATAGTCCATTGGGGGATTTGAGGAAGTTTTGATTGGATGGGACTGAGCAAGGAGTTTGACGAATCCGATATGTGGTATCTGAGGTCTGCTCTATACAAAGAGCAAGTGCTGCTGATGAGATCCTGTCCATGTCGGTGCATGCCCCCCCGAAGTGCACTATATACGGAGCTTTCATGCAAGTACTGTCTCATATTCAATTTCTCAAGTCTTCATCTTGTCTACATTTATCCAACACCTCCTCTGTCGTCCTCACGATGATATCAAATGCCTTCTTAGCATGCTCCTTGCTAGCAGCCGGATTGCCGCTCACCACGCGAATGAGCGTCTTCCTCGCCGTGGTGGTGGGCGTGATGAAGATCTCGCCTCGAGAATTGATCAAATCAGCAATATCCTTTGTCAGGTTGTTCGCAAGAGTCTCTGACGCTTGTTCTGCCCCATCGTGGCCTGGGAGATTAGATTGCGCATCCACCTTAAGCATTTGTCCCTCTCCGGTGTCGCTAGCCCCCAAGCTCGCGATTCTATCAGACCTCGGATGAGGAAGTTCAGTATCGCCACTCATGTATATCTTTTCATTCACTTGTCTCTGCTTCATCCTTGCTGCAGCAGCAACATCTGGCCTCAGCCTCAAACAAGTTAACGCAAATCTCGGCGTCGCAATAATCTCAAACAAATCACGCCTTTCGACGACCATAGCGGTGAATGTCTCACCAACTCGAAGAGAATTTTCAACATGCGTCCTTAGTCCCTCAACACCGTAACTTCTCATTACGAACCAAATTTTCAGCGCCCGAAACCGCCTCCCTAGTGGGATCTGCCAGTCACGGTAATCCGTCACCAGGCCGGATTCAGTGAAACTATTCTGCAGATATGATGGGTTTATAGACAATGCACGAGTGAGATGATTCCGGTTCTGGACGAAGAGGCAGGAGGCGTCAAAGTTGACAAGAAGCCATTTGTGCATGTTGAAATTGAAAGAGTCGGATACACGGCCGATGTCTTGAGAATATTGGGCTTGATATACTTGTAGGATGAGAGCAGCGCCGGCGTAAGCGGCATCGATATGAATCCAGAGGTTGGGATATTGGGAGCGCAGGGTTGCGATGGAGGCAAAATCGTCAACAGCGCACGTGCTGGTTGTGCCGAGGGTGAGGGTCAGGTAGTAGGGTTCCAGACCGTCGGCATGGCATTGTTGGAGGGCTTCTTCAAGGCGAGGAGCGGTGAGCGAGAGATCCTCTGATAAAGAGGTTGAGATGCTGCGGTAGCGAGTCCCGGTTATGAGAGCGCCTTTCTGGGTTGAGGAGTGTGCTTGGTCGCTGCTCAGGGCTACTAGCCTGCCTCGGAGGAAAGCTATGCGATCATCACGCTCCATCGTGCCATTTCGCAGGCCCTCAGCGTCGGCTCTTACGCGGAGGTAACGCTCGCGTGCGGCTACCATAGTGGTTACGAGTGCTTCGCTGGCGGAGCCGTGGATGACTCCTCCGCCGCCTCCTGAGCTAGTGGAGAGAAAGCAATCAGGCAGGGCGAGGGCTTTGGCAACCCAGTCCATGACGATGGTCTCGAGCTCTGTACAAGCTGGACTACAAAGCCAGTTGAATGCTGGAGCAGTAAAGGCAGCGGAGTACATCTCGCCAAGCAGAGACGGGTAGGTGACTAAAGCGGGAAAGAAAGCCATGAAGTTGGGGGATTGCCAGTGCGTGAGGCCGGGAATGATCTGTGATTCGACGTCTGCCTGGATTAAGGGCCATGGTTCAGGTTGCTCTGGGGCATTCGAGGGAATTAAGTCCCTAAGGTATCCCGGCTGGATCTTGGGAAGAACAGGGCGATTGGGGAGAGTCGAGTTATATTCGATTACTGGGTTTTAGATCAGCAAATGTGGATGTAGTACGATGCAAATGGTGCAGACTGTGTTCGACAACAGCGTGGGCTGCTTTTCTAAATCCTTCTTGGTCCATGGCAAGATTGCTTGTAGGTCTAGCTAAAATATGGGAGAACAGAAACCTCTTGGAGAATTAAAAGGCAGAACGGGAGGATACGAAGTCCAGATAGCGGTAGTGTTGCAGAAATACAAGATATACATTACCATAGATATCGACACAAAGAGATGAGAAGCTATCTGAACTGGACCTTGCAAGTGGCGCGCCCTGGACTGACAATTCGTTTGCGCTACCTAACTATTCCGCCTCTGTCTTCGTAGGAGCGGAAATTTTGCGCAGAAAACGCCAAGGGTATCGTGATCAGATTAGTCAGACCAGCCTTGAATACCATCTTACGTAGTAACTTCAATATGAACCTTCCTGACTAGCAAGCTTCACAATCTGACAAAGTTAAGAAGCTGCATTTGTAGACAGCTTGAAGCACACAGATTCTCTTTTCGCCATATGTCACATATCCGGTTCTTGTGCTAGGCAAGGACGTTGTTGCTGCAGTATGATGGTACGAGTAGAAACTGCGGGAGCAGTGGTGGGCTCCAAGCAGCACGAGTATTTCAAGACCAGAGCCTTGGTGAGGTTCATCCACAATGGAGACACGTTCTTCGGCAGGGCACCTACTCGGGTGGCTTAGTCTTCATGTTCCCTGGTGATCAGGCATTTGAAGATTCTTTTTGTGTAGGTTCGACACCCCTGATACCCTTAAGATAGCTAATTGTCAAGAGTGTTATGACAACAAAGGGTTGTTCGACTAAGGTAGCCCCCAGTGCCTCCTGTGTATGAGGTACTAACCATAAGGGGTCATTGCAGCAGTCTGTCTGTTGGACCGATAGCGTACAACAGTGAACTATCCTTCTTACTATCCTTCTTACTATCGTGTAGAGACATATGTTGTGCGGCCAAGAATGTTGACTAGCCATGTGTAACGTAGCGTCAAACAAGGCCTCGCAGAGCAAAATACTCAGATTACTGGACGAACAGCCAGAACAGTGTCTATATCAAGACCTAGGAAGATGGGAATCGTGGTTGGATTGGTGAAAGAGATCTTGTTTCAGATGTCAAGATTAGACCATGACAGGCACGAAAAACTTTCTTTTTTTCGGACCCCTAACTAAATACAACACCAGGCAGGGAAGGGCGGCATGGCTAGCTGAGGGCGGAATAGCTTTGTGTACCCAGACCGCCCCAACGAGCCGCCCCCCTTTCTCTAGCTCCTTACTACGTACCACCAAAGAAAATGCCTCCTCGAGTACCTGCTCCACGTCCATGTACCACTTCTTAAAGACACTCCTTCATTACCGACATCATTTGCTCTTGCTTGGATTAATCGACCTCTCTTTTGGCATCTTTTTTGAATGAGACCACACTCTCTCAATTTGCTCAGCAAATTAATATTCATTATCACTCCCTAACTGGCATATTTCAAGGGCCAATTGTTTCCCCTGAGGCCAATCCTCCTTGATCCCTGACTGTTTCGACCTCGAATTCTGCGGTCAGGGGAAGCAACACTCGACTATTACTCTGTGCTCTCAAGAAGTAAAATACATAGGCTGGACCTCACAAATCTTTGATCAAGTGGCTGGCACACAGATCAATTCAATCTTTATGCCCAACACACCTCTGCTTCATCATCACCATGTCACAGAAAAGGTTCTCTCGTCAGGGTTTCCAGCAATTACAGAACACACCTGCATCTAATATGCCGAATCCGAACGATGTCACAATCAACATTCCCATGACCTCAGTCTCGAACCAGAGTGCTACCGGTGCTCGCAAAGGCGATGCCAATGTTACCGCTGCCACTTACAGTTCAACTAACGACTCTCCCAACCAAACACCCAATGAGAAATCCGGTCTCTTCCATAGAACAGACACTGGTCTCGGCAGACGAAGAAAGTTGGAACAAAAGGGTCTTCCTCAGAAGGACGAGGACGATGGCACCATCACCTCCATGGGCAAGATCTATAACAAAATACTCAACTTTTCTATTGTCACGAGATACTTCCTCTACGTGCTGCCTTTGGCTCTCGCAATCGCCATTCCGATCATCATTGGTGCTACAGTGGCACGGAAAAGCACAGTGGCTGGTGTCCAGATAACTTGGTTCTTCACCTGGATTGAGATCGTGTGGCTCGGTATCTGGATAGCAAAATTGTTTGCACAATCTCTGCCTTGGGTCTTCCAATTCCTCTGTGGCATCGTCAGCTCTGGCACTCGCAAATATGCGTTGATCCTCAAGGCGCTCGAGATTCCTATTTCCTTGGTTGGATGGGCGGCTATTTGTGTCTCCACCTTCACGCCCTTGATGACCTTGAATCCTTATGCACGGAAGATTGGGGACACCCAAACCAAAAACTGGCAGGCGACCGTACGCAATATCCTGTTTGCGGCACTTTTCTCAACCTTGGTCTTCCTTGTAGAGAAGCTGCTGGTGCAACTGATCTCCATCAGTTATCATCGTAAGCAATTCGACAGCAAGATCAAGGCCTCAAAACGCAACATCCACTTGCTGAGCTGTCTCTATGATGCTTCGAGGGCCTTGTTCCCGGCATACTGCCCCGAATTCGCTGCCGAAGATTATCTCATCAATGATTCTATCGATGTCAGCAGCAAGGTTGGCAATGGGTCGGGATCAGCTACGCCGATGCGACTCATTCAGAATGTCGGCGCGAACGTCGGGCGTGTGGGTGACAAGATTACAGCTGCCTTTGGCAACGTGGCGCAAGAGATAACTGGCAAACAAGTTTTCAATCCAACATCAGCCCACTCCATCGTGGTCGAAGCTCTCGAGAAGACTTCATCGTCCGAAGCTCTTGCCCGTCGTCTATGGATGTCGTTCGTCATGGAAGGACGAGAAGCACTCTTCCGAGATGACATTGTCGATGTCCTTGGCGCCGAGCGTACCGCGGAAGCTGAAGAGTGTTTTGCCTGCCTTGACCGGGATGGTAACGGTGATATCAGTTTGGATGAGATGATCTTGACTGTCTGCGAGTTTGGACGCGAAAGGCATTCCATCGCTAGCAGCATGCATGATGTAGACCAAGCCATTCACGTCCTCGACAACCTCCTTACGGTGGTCGCCTCCATTATCATCGTATTTGTCTTTGTGGCCTTCCTCAACAAGAATTTCACCACCACTTTGGCAACGGCTGGGACCGCGTTGCTCTCTCTCTCGTTCGTTTTTGCTGTAACCTGCCAGGAAGTGCTTGGCTCGTGTATCTTCCTATTTGTCAAGCACCCATTCGATGTTGGTGATCGTGTTGATATCGGTCAATCACAGCTTGTCGTCGAGCGCATCTCGCTCCTCTTTACCGTCTTCCGCAAGGTCAAGGACCACAAAACCACCCAGGTTCCGAACATCGTACTCAATACTAATTGGATCGACAATATCAGTCGAAGCAAAGCAATGCGTGAGCAGGTCCTGCTCTACATCAACTTCGACACCACACTCGAAGATATACAACTCCTCAAGAATGAAATTGCAGCATTCGTGCTGGACAAGGAAAACAACCGTGACTTCCAACCCGACATCGATATCGAGGTGACCGGAATTGCTGAGATGAACAAGCTTGAACTCTGCATTGAGATCCGCCACAAATCGAATTGGTCCAACGAAGCTGTCCGAGCATCACGTCGCTCCAAATTTATGTGTGCTCTCGTCCTTGCTCTTCGCAAGATTCCCATCTATGGTCCAGGCGCAGGAGATGCTGTGCTTGGGGACATCGGCAAACCTACATACTCTGTCACCATCTCCGACGAGCAAGCAGCAGCAAACAAGAAGGAGTTCTCCGATGAAAAGGACAAGAAACGTATGATCCCAAAGAACGTGGAGGAAGATAACGATGACCCCCCCAAATCTCCCGATACAGCTGGAAATACCACTACAGGCAAATCAAGCTCGGTGGACTACCTCGGAGGCATTGTAGCTCCTCGCGGCGTAAGCACCCAATCGACAAGCACAGCTGCCAAAGCTGAGGCTTCTATTCTTGAAACACTGAATGCCAGGCCGGCAGGTCTTGATCCGGCGCATGACGATACGAACAACTACTACAAAGCTAACGAAGAGCTTGCACTGGCTAAGACAGAGAGCAGGCGCAGCCAGGACATTGAGGAAGTCCGGGGTCTGCTCCGTAAAGAGTCAAATCGTGGTCGAAGAAAGGCTGGCAGTCCAACAGGGGCATCTATGCAGAGCCCAGCAACCATTCATGAAGTCGTGACTCCACCTCCAAGGAGTGCGTCCAGACCAGGGACGGCGGCCGGAGGACAAGACTTTCATGAATACACATACCCCGTAGCGCCACAACAGCCAATGGCTACGACTGCGTTACCGCAGTGGGAGGAAAGGCATTCAACATACCCGGCCCCACCACCTTCACAGCAGCGGGCCCGAGCGGGGTCCGGGGTGAACAGGAGACCTGTTGGAGGAGGTAGTGGGAACCCATGGCTTGGACAGGGACAGAGGTGATCTGGGGGAGAGAGAAGAGAGTGCAGGTGGATGTGTTGTTGGCTGACAGAGTGGTAAAAGTAATGAATATGGTCATCCAATGGGTTACAGCTGGAAATTGTACCAACGAATTCAATGTGAAATAAAGAGTACGCTCAAGGCAACTTGGACAGGCAGGTATTGAATACCTACATGATAGCAACATGACATGGATAACCTCCATGCAGGTACTTTGGTACACACATCCCGTACAATCGTTTTCTTCATCTCCCTGTCAATCATGTGGATGGGCTTTGCCTCGGTGTCAAATGACGTTGCAAATGTTACTTAAAGCGCCCTGCAGCCTCTGCGGAACCGCAGCCCATCACCCCCCAAGAAGCACGGACTTTAAGCTAACTAGCTTCACCTGGAGCTAACTATCCCCAAGCTGCCACCACGAATTCAGAATAATGTCTCCTTCACAATCTCTCACCTCTTCCACCACAACTTCTCGACTGAATCAGATCAATTACCATACTATGGGTTCCGCCGGCTCTCCCACAATGTTCACCGCAGATAATGTGCCACGTGCTGCGGAAGATCCACTCTTTGGCCTGATGGCCGCATATAAGAAGGATACCTTTGACAAGAAAGTGGATCTAGGTATTGGTGCGTATAGGGACGACAACGCAAAACCATGGGTCTTGCCTGTTGTCAAGAAGGTTAGCCTGGTACTCTGGACGGCTGGGCGTTGATGTGGCTAATTCTGATATACAGGCGGACGATCTCCTGCGCAAAGATCCTGACCTCAACCATGAATACCTCCCTATTGCTGGTCTTGCAGACTTCACCACTGCTTCACAGAAGCTGGTTCTGGGAGCAGATAGTCCCGCAATCCGCGAGAAAAGAGTGGGTGTCATCCAGAGCCTAGATGAATATTGCAGGACTGAGCGGCCTTAGGTTGTATCTTTTCAAACCGTCTCAGGGACAGGTGCCGTACACCTTGGTGGTGCCTTTCTCTCCAAGTTTCTCCCTCAACCTACCCCTGCGATCTACATGTCCTCTCCGACATGGGCCAATCACAACCAAATCTTCACCAACGTCCGCCTACCAATCAAGTCCTATCCTTACTTCAGCAGCGAGACAAAAATGCTTGACTTTGAGGGGATGATATCCGCCCTTTCCTCCGCTACAAAAGGCAGTATCATCCTTCTCCATGCCTGCGCACACAATCCTACAGGAGTTGACCCAACACAAGATCAATGGAAGAAGATCGCAGAGGTTGTGAAAGCAGGCAGCCACTTCCCTTTCTTCGACTGTGCATACCAAGGTTTTGCATCAGGCGATCTGGCGAAGGATGCATGGGCTGTGAGATATTTTGTTGAGCAAGGTTTTGAGCTGTGTGTTGCCCAGTCATATGCGAAGAACTTTGGTTTGTATGGTGAAAGAGCGGGCGCCTTCCATTTCGTGACTGCACCAGGATCCGACGCTCAGGATACTGTCAGCAGAATTGCCAGCCAGCTTGCTATCTTACAACGAAGCGAGATCTCAAACCCTCCTGCGTATGGTGCAAGAATTGCAAGCATGATTTTGAATGATGAGAATCTTTTCAAAGAATGGGAACGAGATCTCAAGACCATGAGCGGACGTATCATAGAGATGAGGAAGGCTTTCCGAGACAAGCTGGAGGAGTTTCAAACGCCAGGGACATGGAACCACATCACAAGTCAAATCGGTATGTTCAGCTTCACTGGCCTCAATGAGAAGCAGGTAGGCATTTTGAAGGACAAATGGCATATCTACATGACGAAAAACGGGCGGATCAGCATGGCAGGCCTCAACACGCACAACGTCACATATGTTGCAGAGTCAGTCAGTGCAACGGTGAAGGAGACACAATAGATGGCAAGCTCCGGTCTCGACAACGCGACAACACGACATTACGGCAAAGAAGGATTGGTGGCGTTCATTAGGCGTTGGCATAGTTTCGTCACCGGGTGTGTTACCTCTCCAGGCATAGCTAGCAGGGTAGACAAAAGGCAGTCATGATACCTCAAATAGCTGACATGGCTTTGAGGCTGTATCGCAATCGCATCATGATATTAACATTAACACGAATACTTGTCCCCACAGATCATGTTTTCCTCATCCTAATGTTGCATAACATCCGTTGTTCAAGCTGCTGTAATGCCTTAGACCTCCATTACCGGAGCAAACCTCGAAATAAATATTATATTCTTGGCTCGACACACAGAAAGACCCTCCCCCATCTAACAACATGTCTGATTCGGTAGCCGCGCTGAGAAAGGGCGTTGGCGATGATCTCCGTGATCTCGCAGAGCAGCATTACAAACATGAGTCCGTGTTCCTCCCCGTGCCCCAACCCCCAGTATACACATCCCCATCCCCATCCCCAGCTTCCATGTGGGGAAGCTTGCTTGCCTTTTCTCCCACAACCCGAGCCAATCAACTAACCAACTAACCAACCTATGACGTGGAAAGTCTCGAACAAGAAGACCGCGACAGGCTGCAGAGCGCAGCGGGCAAGGTCTCTCGCTATGCCAGCATCGGCTCCCTCCTCGGTCTGGGCCTGGGAGTCGCTCTCGCGTTCCGTATCCGCAAGAACCGGCTCGCCTATTTCACTGCTTTTAGAGCCATAGAGAGACCGGAAGCCGTGGTCTTTCCGGGCGGAAGGACCGGTACGTTACTTTACGTTATGTTACCTTACCCACTCATCTACCTCCCCGCCCAACCCCATACCAACTGTCAGATTATAGCTCAGAGCAGCTAACCCTGCCTTCTCCTTCCGTCTTCACACGCAGAGAAAATCCCAGATATCACTCCGCTCCTCAAGCCAACCACCCCGGGCGATATCGTCACGTACACCTTCTTCTCCATCGCGGGTATCTTCCTGGGCGGGGAGACGGGTTTGCTGGTCGGTTCGGCGGCGGCGTCGAGGACCATCACCAGCGATCCCGCGTCGAGGAGGAGGATCGAGACGGCGTTTCGGAAGTTCAAGGCGGATGCTTTAAGGAGGCAGGCGGATGAGTTGGATGGCGGGGAGGGGAGCTTGTTTAGTTGAAGAAAGGGGGGGGGGAGTATGTGTGTTGAGGGCGTGCAAGAAGGGCTGGGCGGGGCCGTGCTGAGGTGGTATGCTTTGCATAGTTCGGGATGGGGCTTTGCTTTCATCGCTTGGCATGGTGCAGAACGAGAGGAGAGGATGTGCTGGAAAGGAGTCCACTGTCCTCCCGCAACGCTGGCTGACGCGAACAGGTTAACATCCGGGATTCGAATCATGAATTCATTCAGCATCCCTTGGCTCACTCAACGCTCTTCACTTCCTTGACAAGGCCGCAATTACACCACCACTGGTGTCCACAACACCCCTCAGCCGGTAGACTGTGTTCCATGCCCAGCAATCTGGAGAGTTGTGGGATTAGCCTCATGCCATTACATGTCTTCAGGACAACCTTCTCCTCCCTCTGTCTCCATCTCCCTGAGGCCTTCCCATATTACACAGCACATGAACCTCTAAGCTTGCCCAACGCCATCACATCCACCAATACTCAACGAAATAAGCAGATTTCATAAAAACACCCAGCCTGAAGCGAGAAGCACAATCAACCGATCATCCCGATTTCGCGGAAATGACCGGACGTATCTCAGGCAGATTTGTTGGAACTTTTTATCTCTGAGCCTGGCACTGCAAGTATGGTTGATTCATGCGCCCATTTTGGCACTCAAACACGCACCATTGTAAGGTGTCTTAGAAAAACCCTACAACCAAGGCTCTACAACCCAGGCTCTACAAGCCATCCCAATTCCCTAACTATGCTTTCGCCAGAACAATCCGACAGATAGACACAGCCTGTCCCTCTCGTAGGTTCGCCTTCTTGAGTGACCCCTGTGCTATCATCATCGACACCTTTACCATCAACCCAAAGGTCGTGCTCGCCATATCTTGCCATATCGCTGACCCCCACCTCCGCCTCCTACTTTGCAGGTTGGGCCACAACATCTACCTCCTGTTAACCACTAGAAAACCAGATCCCAGCCCACCAAGAACCCGCAGAGACCCACCGTGACCCAGAACACGCCCCTAGCAAGTCCCTTCCCCCACCTCTCCCCGGCCCTCTTCAGTTCGCGATTCCCCCTCCTGACATCCTCTCCCGTCCCCTGCGCATCCTGCACTAGCTGCTCGATCATCTCGCCCTGAGTCGACAGATGCGTGAGCAGCGTAGATTGCAGCGAGGATATCTCCAGCAAAGACTTCTCTGCCTGAGCGATTTTCGAGAGGGTCGTATTGTAGTGGGCGAGGAGGGTAGAGTTTTCGGATTCGAACAGCTGCTGCAGGTTGGGGGGAAGGTTGTCCATCTCCATCTCTTCGCTGGTTCGATCTCGGTTGGTGATGGAGTCGTCGAGGGTGGGGTTGTAGTTGTCATCCATCTTGTAGTCGAGATGCCCATTCATACTGTTCTGGGTGGCTGTCGCTGTGCGTCTCGGGATCTGACCGCCCCCACCTCCCATCCCACCACCGCTGGACTCCACGGTGCTGCCTGCTGCTGCTGATGCATCCGTCTTCATCTTCCAGAGCACACTTTTTTCCTTCTCTCTCTCCCGCGCCGCCCGCACCTCCACCATCCCTCTCTGCGTCTCCACCGCGCCTTGGAGCCTCCATCCCAGGTACCACAATACGCCCTCCCGGAACGTTTTGATACTGGTTGCACGCCCCTCGGCTTCTAGCTGTTCATGACCCTTCCCTGCGGATTCATCGCCATCGTCCGCGTTGTCTTCTCCCCCTGCGGCCCATCGCCAGAGGACGTTGTTCCTGCCTCCTCCGCCACGCTTGCTTCCAAACCGCCGTTCAAGCAGTGCGGTCTCGGTGGAGTTGCGTAGATTCTCGGCGGCGGTGAGAGAGGAGATGTTGCTGCTGAGTTCGTGGAGGAGGGTGGAGGTCTGCGTGTCGATTTCGGTGCGTTGGGCGTCGGTTAGGTGGATCGGAGGAGATTGGGCGCGGGAATCATCCGGTGTGCTGCGATGTTTGCGTGGAGGTGGAGCAGTAGAGGTGGAGAGGTAGGGTTGGCGGATTTGACGGAGGTAGACAAGGAGGGAGGAGATGTGTGAGTTCTAAAGGAAAGAAAAAGAGGGAAACCGTTAGAACACGTATACAGTGAGTGGAATGCACACTTCATGAGTAAGACATACTATCCGGTAGGCTTCTTGGAGGAAGGTATCCAGGCGGTCTGGCGAGTGGACATGCTCTTGAATTGGAGCGGCGGCGTGTTCGGTGGTGAGGAGGAAAGAGACAACAGGAGTGATGTTTGTCATGGAAGCGGACTGGAATCTTGCTCCAGAGCGTAGATGTAGATGGATGATGACAACGGCAGAGAACAGACCGCTGATCCCAGATTACACTATGTAGCCATCTATCCCACTGGTTAAGTACTGGAGTGCCGCAGATGTCATCCCCTTCCGCCAAGCATTATCTCACTGCTACAGGGGGTTAGTAACCTGGAATCCGGTAAAGATGTGAGTGGTCAGAGGCAGGTTTGGGTCAGGATGCTGCTACGGAATATAGATGCATGCAGATGCATGCAGATGTCTAATGTCAACAGTAATACAATCTATAACCGTTTCCCCATTTCAACATCTGTATCCCATGTATCGTCATCCCAGACGCCATCACCTTTGACCTTGTGGCTCAGCCAGATTCCAACACCCGTCACCACCACAGATCCAATGAACCATCCATCAAACCACTTCTCCGTCCATGCAGGTTGAAGTACACCAGTACCCAACGCTTCGCTGATCACACCCCCAACCTCCCTAGGCATCATATTCCTCAACAGCAGTGCTGAGCTGATGACGTATAATCCGGCAATTTGACTAATGAGCAATGGGATATTTGATCTGGCGGCCTGCAGAACCCCAGGCAAAAATCGTGCAAAAAGATGGAACGTCTGTAGCACTGCATTGAAAGACGCCGTGAGGATGACCCCACTCAGCAAGAAGGATATCTGTCTTGCCCAAGCTGCTTGGTTCAGGGAAGGATAGACATGTCGTGCGAACAAAGCAATAACATTCGTGACGGGATCTGTAGGCGCAGAGTACGAGTTTGAGTATAGAGTTCTTCGGATGATGTTGATCATGATAGAACCAATCCGATAGACACAATAGCAAGAGAAGACATAGGAAACAAGATTCGTGGCGCGTCCAATGGCCGTAGATGACCGAAGCTGTGATGCCTTTCTGGACCGGAGGATAGAAAGTGAGTTGTGCAGGGAAGCAGACATTGTCTTCAAGCCAGAGACCTCAAGCTCGAGCGTTCTCAGCTCCTGCATGTCGGCATTGCCACGAATGGAGCCCATAGCTTTCTGAAAGAACCCTCTCGCAGGGGCATCTGACACTTTTAGTTCCAATTGCTTGAGACGAGCCTTCTTGGCTGAAAGCATATCCAACGTCGCATCTAGCCCAGCTTGCTTGCGATTGATATCGGCTTCGGAGACTATCCGAGCTCGGGTTGTGAGGTTCTGCCAAATTGCGCTGACTGCGGCAAAACCAGAAAGCAACGCCATCATTGAGGTCCCCGTAATCCCTAGCCTTTCGAGGCATGCTGTGACGAGATTTGCGCCGGCCTTCGATTGACTTTCACCGGCATCTGGTAGAAGCACTCCGACGAACCAGAAGCCAGCCAGAAATGTGGTGAATCCAATAACCTCAAGCGCCCAAGCAGCCAGGGCGCTCGCCCTGGTACCACCAGTGAATCTCCATCCTAAGCGGGAGATCAAGGAGTATATCTCCAATAGAGGTATGACCAAAACCAACAGGCATAGCAGACTTGTAACGGTTGCGCTAATTGAGATCTTCCTGGTAGTTGGATTAAACGAGTTCGAGATTTCACAGAGGAGCAGCTCGGTCAGGACGGCTGAAAGAGCTATGGTTGCGGAGAAGGCCACGGATGAGATGCGCTTGGAAATGCGTTTCTCGTACGCGGCCGATTGTGCAGAGGCCTCTCCATGGGGAGAAGTGGGAGAAAATGCTGATCGATTGAGCTTGTCATTGGTCGACGAGGACAGCAGCGGGTAGACTTTCTGATGCACAATCACCGCCACAAAGAGAAAGGTTAGAGCAAAGGGCAGTATGGAAAAGATGGCTTTTGACGGCGAGCTCTTGAGATATGTAGGTACGCAATCATCGCAGTCGCCATTGATAGGGAGCATAGGGAGATTTTATCGTGGATGCTGGTGATGAGAGAGATGCGTGCAGTCGAACATTCCGGAGTCTGCGAACATTGGTGGGATTGGAAGGAAGACCTTTACCAATTCGAACACATAGACACAATGTTCAGCCCGTACATAAGGTAACTCCAACTGGGGCCTTCGGGCCAATTCTGAAGTCCCCGATAAATACATTCTTCCGGCCACCACAACTTAGAGAGAGATGCTCCCATTTCCTTGGCAACCACATTCAACGATTCTCCTCTTCATGTTATGTGACTTTGGCAACCTCATTTCTACCCTCGCCTACTCAATATATCCTTACCGATCACAACCCAAGAGCAGCAGAACGGCTGAGGCTGATTATGCCGATGGGCATCAGGCAAACTTCTATCGCATCCTCGTGCTTGTCAACCAGTGCCAGTGCCAGTGCCAAATAGATCTGATCTGTGGAAACTGCTGAATCGGCCTGACCCTGGTTACACCATGACCAGTCATGGAAGCCTGCAGAGCTTATAATAAGCGCACCTTTCACCAAAAGAGACCCTTCAATGGCTCTCGAGGGTGATTAGGTCGAACTTTTCATCATGCGGCTCTCACGCGCATAGTCCATCTCTGGATGAGGGTTCTTCATGATGTCCCTCATCTATCACTCTTGCATCGAAAAACCTGGACAGGCACTTCAAATTCCTGCAAAAGGCGAAGAGAGCTTGTTACAGACCCTATCATTAGCAAGCATAGGAGAGCACGAGCGATCACCAACCCGACCCCGTACCAGGCACTCATGGCCGTTAAGACGCCTATGGCATATCTGATATCGTAGGTCATTATCTAGATGACAGTCTTGCTATCCATTCCATCGCCAAGATTTGGCTCTATCTAAGGTGAGAAAGTGTTGGCAGCTGCCACTAAGTATAACTATTTTGACCGACGCTGGTCCGCTTAACAATGAGGGAATTCCTGGGATCTTGACCCAGAAGCGCCACGTCTCGCAGGGCCGGCTAATCAAACATTGCTGGGAGGAATCTTGTGTTGTCTAAGAAGGTGCAATATCAGCGAGTTGAGGGCATTGCAGTAGCAGCACCTTAATGCGTGGACGTCTACGACATCGAAACCACTCTTTGGCCCACGGCTAATCTCCAAACAAGGAACACGTGATGATCTGGCCTGTGAATATGCCTAATGTGTCTACCAAACGAGATAGGGGATTTGTGGGAAGAATGGCCTGTTACCAACCAAACACCAGCACCCAGCTAAGACGACGTTCTTTCTAGGGGATATCTTTCTTCTCCTATTCCTCAGTCACACGCCATACTCTGCATGAACGTAAGGGGGAAGCTTGTCTACTGGAACGAATTCCATCCCTTCTCCCAGCACAGTATGGCACTCCAAAAGGTATTTCTCCGCCCCACTTCCTGCCCCTGTCGGCTTCAATCTAATGGTGCATACCAGAAGCAACTTTGGTCTGGAAAAACAGTGTCGTAGGTGCTTATATCGATGATCGCTGGCAATGGGACCGGGTAACCGCTGGTTTGCTCATCCTTTGCCTAGGCACTTGCTGCCGCAATTCACTCTGATCGTCTGAAACCTGGACCGGACGGGCCTTGGTCTGCTTGCTCGAGGAACTCTGTATCTGTCACCAGGGGCTGTGGTCGATGCGTTCTAGGTTTCTGGGGTGATGGCTGGGAGTCCTCCACTCTCTTAGGCTGCGCTGCTCCGGGTCTATCATTACCTGCTGTCTGCGTTGGCTTTGACAGCCTTGTAAGTGTATCCTGCTTTCTTGGATCTGCAGAGTGATGGATTTGTGGCTTCCTGTCCTTGGCCGGTATTAGCTGGCCTGAGGTCTCTCGAGCAGGCGCTTGGAATTGAGAGTTGCCTGATTCAGTCTGCTGGCTTATTCCGTGCTGTAGTTTCGTGTTATTCTTTGGGTACCCTCCTGGATCGACTTGGCCGAACCCCTGTTTCTCTCCTCCAGGCGGGCACGGTGGATCTCCTCTGTCTGTAGGGGAGTCCGTAAATGTGTGCATTTGCATAGGCTGGAAGACGGCATTGCCGGCCGACTTGGGTCCGAAAAACCACGTTAAACACCGTGCGGCCGTGAATCGTTCTTCAGAATGCTTCGCAAGCATAGGAAGGATCTCCGGTCTGTGCTGAGAGGCGGCCAAGCGAATGCTATCATGCCAAATCTCGTGCCCACCCAGCATGAGCACTCTACTTTCTCCTTCCGGCCACAGTCCAAGGACCTCGAGCATTACCAGACCCATAGAGAATACATCGGCTTTCGAGGTTTGAGGCAGTGCGCAGAACATTTCTGGCGCCATGTATTCCCTAGTTCCAACTGGTGAGAAGCTATCGTTCTGCTCCTTCGAGATGCCGAAATCGGCAAGATAAAACATCGTGTCTTTGTCATGCAGGATATTCTCAGGCTTGATATCGCGGTGTATGATATTCTTCTCGGCAAGAAAGACCAATGCGTCCAATATTTGCTCTGTCAGGGATCCAAGGTAGGCGCTGGGCGCTGGTGACTGGCTCATCAGCTTTCGCAAGCTTCCTTGGTAAACATCCATAAACAGCTCCATTACGGTTCCATTCTCCCTCTCTTGTGCGTCAATGAATCTTGCAATGTTTTTCTGCATACAAGTCAGCCAGAATGCACTTCTTGTTTGTCAACCTCCAAGACGTTTGCCCAGATTACAAGCACTTACATGCGCCGCGGCCTTTAACAACTCCGCCTCTTTCCTGAATCGTGATTTTCGCTCTTCTTCTGTCTCGTCATTCAACCTCCCGAATACCTTCAAGGCCAAGTGGTCCCCGGTCCGAAGGTCTACGACAAGTAAGACGTTCCCATAGGAACCCTCACCTAGCCACCCCCTTTTCTCGTAGGCAATTCTTGCTTGCTCTTGTGGTTCCTGTAACGCGTATCTTCGTCGACCACCAGGTCTAGTCCAGGGTTTGAGACCATTACGCTCGATAAATCTGACAATGGTGTCGCGTGCGATCTCGTGCCCTGGACCTGGAAAGCATATCTCGAAGAAAGCGTCATAAATATGCATCTGTATCGCCTTGATGTTCTTTGATATGACCCGTTGTCTGGAATGCCCTTGCAGACTATACTTCTGGCTGGTTTTTTTGCCAAAAGAGAGGCGTACCATCCTGGTAGAGGAATCATCCTGCAGGATTAGCTCGCAGGTCTTAGGATGGACCTGAAAATGGCAAAGATAGTCCGGAAGACATTGCTCAATGAGATAAATATCGCAATCCACCTTGCCGAATGACAACAAGGTACCACGCTTTTTCGGTGAGTGTCCCAGAGTGATTCGGAAAGAAGGCCCACTCGCAAGCTCCTCGAGAAAACTCGTGTTACGTGGATGCAGCACGATGCGATTGGCAGCTTCGTTCAACGGCAGAAGACGGAAATATAGCGCAGACTCGGTAGCCATCCCAAATCGTTTGAGGTACGAAAGGAAATGCTGCAACCACTCCACGGGCTACCGGCAGGCTTGACTGTAGATTGATTGTTGAGGTTATAGTTGCAGCCACTCACTTTCAGGATGTCTTTCCCGATTAGGAAATGCGAATGGTCGTGCCGGAAGCAGTTATTATGAAAGGGAGATCTTGAAAAATTAGATGGGTCGCTTGGGAGAGCCGCAAAAGGATGATGTACAAGACGTATTGAACAACGCATTGTGATAGCGCTCTTGGGTCCATCCATATAGTGACCGCTTCCGCCTCAGACGCTTCGAGAACCATCCTATCCATCATCTGTCTCAAGCTCTTTTACCCAAGGCACAAAGGAACTTGAGCAAAAGGGCGGCTGCAGTTGAACCCGAACCAGACTTATCTCAGAAACTATTAGTCTGACCACCTCTTTCATCGTGGGGGCTCACCTTGTGGCAGGTACACAACTGAAACTTCATAAAGATTTTCTGTGGGTGTCACTCAACGCCTTCGAGGTGCATTGATTTTTTACAATTGGTTTCAGGAATGACGGTAAACACGATTGAGGCACGGATCAACGGTCAAGCCACATGACGTGGTATGCCGTCCACAATAGGGCGTGATCTTAACCGCACAGCATTTAGGCCGGTGTCTCTAATGGCAGGAAAGCAATCATAACTAGGGTCTCCTACACACTACGTAGTACTAGTAATTTCCTATAACTAATATTGGCGGAAAGCGATGTAAGGCGCCAAGAAGTTGTGTATCGTTGTCGCAATACACTACCTTCTCAGATTCGGTTAAGAATGTCAAATCACTACTCCGTCCACGAGTCCAATTTGATACTAGGACATTAGATGGTCAGTCAGGACATCTGAGTGGCCACTATGGTACAAAGACCTTCTCTAATTTTGTGTGCAGAAAGGGTAGAACCAAATACTAGATGTAACAAGAAGGTATTATTTCAGATGATAGCAAAAGTTACCAGTGACCCCTGAATACTGTTTCCCGCCAGATATCATGGTAGTACGTACAGCCCTGCCATGAGTAGGTGGCCATGAGTAGGCGAGTTAGGCGAGTTACGTCAACTACTGGAGTAAGATGCGCCGCAGGCGGCAGGGCGATTTGTATTAGATAAAGGAGAGATGTGGTAAACAAAGACTAGCCATTGTCCCTGCACGTCCGTGGCTTAGTTTACTGTAATTGGCATCTCAAGTACTTAAGGTGACTCACTTACTCTCTTTCAAACTCGTCTCCTGTTAACTAATTGTCTCGGATCCAGAAATTCGTTGTTGCTGACCATTAACGTACGAGACCAGTACCCACTATCCCAGGGTCTCAACGCTTTGTATCTTGCCATCACTCCACCTTGGTTTGGAACCCAAATCTCCAACCATGACACAAAATAGCGCAGGTTCCAGCAAAGCAGAAGATGTTCTACAGAAAGCTGCAGTACTTCCTGGTGGAGACAACAAAGCCAGGGGCACCATCATCATAAAACCACCGAACCCTGTCGATCCAGATGTGGTTCTGCAAGAAGGAGCTTCCGAAGAAGAGAAAGCAGCATGGGAGCGATTCTTCGCGGAACTCGAGATCTGGCGACAGAAGAGATATGAGCGGACTGTCGACTGGTTTCGGAGAGACTTTCCTGGCCAGGAGCCTCCTCCACGAGAAGACAAAAATTGGGCAAGAAGTATTGTTATGAACCACCCTACAGGCATACTGACAGGCACCGGACCACCCCTTCCCCCCGGCTTTCCTCCTGGACCGACCAAAGAAGAGATCAGGGAGAGGCAAAGACAAGAGCAGCCATAGCTTGACCGCCTTGGCAGGGAATGGGACGCAAAGGTGAAGCGGGAACAACTGGAGGCCGAGGCTGAGGCCGGATCAGACTCACCATGAATCTGTTTGATGACAGTAGGTGAGAGGGCCCAACCAGTCAAATTACTGTTTGGTTATTGGTTTGTGTCACTTTGAGAGCCTACAGTATAACAGCTTATAGATGTTTTTCATATATCGAGATATAGCTTAAGGTAGGACATTTATCAACCGAGACAAAGACTTCGCATCTCCATTCCGTGATTCAATTCAGTCCTTTGGGAGAACAACAACAGTCTTTGTGATACTTGACCAAGAACGTGTGAAACAGGGATAAAGCCCAGTGAGCCTTACAAAGGAGGGCAAAGACTTCAGATTAGCATCATGCTCTGACAATAGCAAACTCAGCAGCACCCTGCTCAATTTCGCCCTTCAGCTGCTCCTTTGCACGCTCTTTGGTCGCTCCCTCTTCGACAAGAGCAAGTCGAAACCCATGCTGGGGCCCTTGCCGCCCAGTCTGGTAAACCACAAATGAAATTGCCCTATACGTGCTACCATTCCTCTCCAGCGCACTCAATACCGTGCAATTGCCTCTCCTTGCTCGGAGTTTGAGATCTCATCCAGCGCCCCCGACCACGCTAGCTCTTTGATGAAAGCACTCTCCATTCTTGGTGCCTGAAAGCTTTAATGATGTCTTGCTGTAACACTGAGCTATACCCGTCGTGTACACAGAGATAAATTTATCTGGCAATTGAAGGACGTTTAATAGTCCATGCTGTTCTCAGATCGAGTTAGCGTTGAAATTGATGGTAACTTTCTTCATCCTTGCCTAGTTCTTGCAGTTGACGGAAAGCGGAACAAGGTGTTCTGCACCACTGCTGCCCAAATTGAGGTAGGGTACGCCGCGAGCGATGAGAGTTTGATCTAAATGAGCTTCTCTCCTGTACTATTGAGCATTCGAAAGATGTATAGTTTTCCATTATAGCATCGAGGCACCAGCTTCGCACCCAAGTACTCAAGATAATGATGACTTTGTCGGTTCAGCAAGTCTCATATGAATTAACCGCCGTTTACAGTCAATGGAGGCTCTGCAAGGGATGATGACACACTGTAGATAGAACATCAATGGTGGTCTTGGCTAATGGTAGAACGTAACAGGGCAACCCCAGTCTGATCAACTCGGATATGCTGAGGCAGCGAACAGCCGATGAATGCTTAGAAACGAGGTGTTCAGCGGCTTACAAGAAGGGCCGACAAGAAGGCCGACATCATGATCTGGCTTCATTTCTCTCGTGGCGAGTTAAGCCGTCTCTTCATGGCATGCAAAGCAAAGCAAATAATTTCTTTCTAAGTAAAGGCTGGCGCTGTCTGAGCAACCACGTGTTTCACACCTTGCGAGTGTCACTTGCAAGTATGGCAGCTAGCCAGGGCGGGTCCCGGCTGGGATCCACCTCATCAACAGTTGCTCCCCTCGCCTTTCCAGCTCGTCGCCCTACTTTCGGCGACCGCGTCCAGCTGGCGTCATCGCTATCTCCATCACTGACTTCTGGGCTATCGACGGGACTTAAGTTTGGACTCTTCATCACCACGTTAGATGGAGCCGGGCTGACTGGTCTAGGGCTTGCGCTCCTTTCACTCGCATCAGTCTTGGATGATACCCCTCGAGACAACGGTGAAGCTTCGAAGTTCTTGGGCACTCCTATGGCTTTGGCAACAGCGGCTGCCTCTTGGTCGGTGGCCGAGGGTAAAGGTCCGATAATACTGTTTCGAGCGGTCTTGTCTAGAGAATAGCCCCCCCGAGCTTTTTCGAGGATCGAGTTGTAGTTGCGACGGGCCGGGTCAGCCATCCGCTTCTTCTTTTTCTTCAGGCGTTTGGTAGATGGCCTAACTACAATAACAGGTATTGGAGACTGTTGAAGGCAATACTTGGAAACTGATCCTGGAAGGAGACCTTGCATGCCACCCAGGTTCCGGCCCCTGGTACCCACCACGAGCACGGCAGGTTCATAGATCTGGATCTTTCAAGAGGTCAGTGAATTTGAGCAAGTGAATGGGCATCTGACGACATTACCATCCTCTGTATCACATCTTGCACTTTGCCAACGGCGAGCTCCAAGACCAGGCTTATAGCCCTTTCTCCCTCTTGGCTGTTCTTTAGAATGACCCAGTCCATCAGCTTTTGAGCTTCCTGGCGATATCTTCCCTGCTGCACGCTTGTATCGCTCGCGAGCTTCGAGTCCCTCTCCACAACGCGTAAGCACACAATTTCGTCGCCATCGTCAACCAGCTCATCAAGTAACCATTCCAAGGCAAACTCAGAATAATCGTTTTGATCCGTGCCACAGAGGAACGTTCGGCTGCGACGAGTGCTCTGGTGGTTCCGATGTTTGTAATTGAGTGTGAGGGAGAAGTCTGTAGCGTCACGGTTATCAAAGGTGTCGAAGGAGACTCCTCGCTGATATGTGCTTCATGAACCGGTCAGCCATGGTCCTCTTTCGAGCGCGATCATGCTGCAATGCGAGATAGGCAAGATCTTCACAAGCCAAAAAGCTTCTTCAGTGAATCTCGCTTTGATGATCTTTGTCGCTGTCAGGTCAAATGTATGCGGCGGAGGAAATGCTCAGGTATCAGGGAGTGCTACATACCTTTTGGGGGGTGGTGATGACATTCTCCGCCCTCCTTCCGAAGTCCTCCTCTCTCCTACCGACATCTTCCTCGCTTCCATCGATTGTAATTTCCCTGCAGCCACGCTCTCCCTCCTGATCGTGTCCTCTGCTGGCGCAGTATTGAATTGGATCAAAGATGGTCGCCGAAGAGGTTCGGTCGGACGGTGAGAACCGTTGGAGGAATTGGACACAGCAACAGACGCTCGCTGGCCATCTTTTCCCATAGGGCCAAACGAGTCTTTGAAGACGACCGGAGCCGCGTCACGTCTCGTTGGCTGCAAAGGCAAGGTCAATTCTCGCTCCGGCACAGTCTCAAGGGAATGGTGATCTTCCTTGGTCGATAATTCCGACATTTTTGCTCTCGAAGGTAGAGGGAAGTAGCCGAGGGTGGATCGTCGCTGCTGATGTAGGCGATAGCCACTTCTATTACACAGATAACATTATCATTGGTATTCAGTCGTAGCGATAAAGGTGTGAAGACCTCAGCGGCTGAGCGGTCGTAGAGCTAGCTGTGCTGCTCACGGGCTGAAGCTGAAAAGAGCTCTGGTGTAGGTGACTCGACCGCTCATTTAAGCTGCATGAACCTCCACGAGAGCGGGACTACGGAGCGAGCGAAGCGCTCTGGTTCGTGCGTTCGCCAAGCAGGCTTAAGCATCATTTGGCTGGTGATCTGGTGGTTGCCTTTCGGTCATGGGCAGCTGAACAGCTTGAAAGTGAAGGGGTCGGCCTGCTTGGCTACAGGGGAGAGCTTAAGCGGAGGGGGCGTCAGAAATTTTGGCTGGTGGTGCCGGCACGAGGCGAGATCAGCAGTTGTTACATATGACATGACATGACAAAGCATGTACTGAGACCCTTCACAGTTTCATCCGTACCGGTAGCTCTTATCTATTCTAATATGAGGAGCTGTCTGGTATTCTGACGCTGATTGTACATTAAAGAGACACCTTGGTGTCTGGATTCTTTACACACCAAAGCCTTTGGACTCCTTGAATGGATACGAAACCTCATCGCCTTTTCTTGTCCATATCCTATTTTTCTTCTTACTTACGACATGTTCCACCCACACCTCTCTCGTATGTTCTGCCTTGAATTTGCGAATGAACCGAGGGTCCCATAGTTCGCTGGCGACTCCAAGGTCTTTGCAACATCGCATGAGCGCGTTAGACTTACAGCCTTCTGCAGCTGTAGGGATCCCCTCTGGGGAGAAGTAGTCTTGCTCGCCGCGAGCGATTGATACCAATCTAGTACTACGCGTCAGCATCGCAGCGTGAGAGTTTGGTAATCTAACGCACCTCCCATGTACAAGTAAAGCATACTCGCGGGTAACAGCCTTTGCGGTAACTGTGCTCTCTCCTCGTGGGGCCAGACCCCAGCCTCCAGGTCCAAATGCCTGGTTCAATATTCTTCGATATTTGATTTCTGGCAGGTAGATGATTCCGTCCGGCTTGATTTCCACGTCGTTCGGATTTAGAGGTTTGAGTAGCACGTCTGCGGCCTCTTTCGAAAAAGGCGCATCAGACAGTCCGTGAAACGAAGTGGTCCAATCTATCTGCGAGGAACTCTCATCAAGCTGCTTCTTTGGCTGATCGGAAAGACCCGCTTTCAAGTTGGCAGAGCCTGGCTGGGGGGGAAGGGCAGATTTCGCAGGTGTGGCAGAAGGCAGGCTGGATGCAGAATTTGGTCGTGGCACAGTGGCAGGCTGAGCTTGAAAATGACGTGACGATGTGGAAATGCACCGATGGGGCATCAAGCTGTATAGAAGTCTTGAAGCATCGTAAGCTATGATGGAGGTGGGGAGCGTGCTGGACCGCTGTGCGGATGACGAGCAATGACTAGCATGGGTTCGATGGGACCGAGACGACTGGGTGATTGCCCGGATGAAGGCTCGTGGTGAAGATGCCATCTTGACAGTATTCAGCTTACGTTGCTGCAGATTTCGATGCTGGCGGCAATATGTTTGGTGATGGAGAGAGAGGGCGCGACTTTATGAAATTTTTGGATAGGGTACTGTACCGTACTGTATCATCACGAGTCCTCGTGACTGGCTTTAATACGTGCCAATGAGTTGAGATGGAAATTATTGCACTCTGGTAGAAGGCTATCTAGAAGAATTGGAAAGGAAGAGACAACCACGTCTACAGATCCTTGCTTTGAGTCCTCTTCTCGTTCCCTTTCCTTTTCCAACACTCCCTGAACGCCTCCATCTAGGCTCGCATTAGCAACCGGATAATTTCTTCAGAGGAACAGTTCTTAGAGAACTCCACAACTCACCTCCTTCTTGCAGATCCTCCAATCTTTGTGATCTGAATAACAGTCGTTCATCTTCAATTGCTCCTCTGACGATACTTGTCAGCTCCGTGACAAATGACGCAGATCTTGTTATTACATACCAGCACACCCGGTGCTGAAAATTCTCTTGTCCCTTTCAATATTGCTGTTAGCCAATCTCTACTTTGGTTGTAGAAGCATTCTTCACACCAGTCGTCTGGATCGTCTTCCATTCTCTCCAATGAGGCTGCTACTTCCTCCTTTGTCATCGTGCTGTCTGTATGGTCGAGGAGGGTGAAACTGAGATTGGCTGGAAAGCTTCCTTTTCCCCTTCCGGTTTCGGCAATAGATGCGATACCTCAAAGAATGGCTCCCACGCGTATGAACGTGCTGGTCTACTCGGGTGCAGTGCCTCGATCATAAACCTGTGTAAGCAGTCTCTAATCGGTCTCAGACATTGGCAGCACCGTTGACTCAGTTCGGCATTGCCTCTACACATTGCGCGAATTATTGAGTCCTACTTATGCAGTCATTCCAGTCTCTGGTGATCAGATAATCAAAGAACCATGGCCTTCGAGCTGCGCCGCTGTGGTTTTTCCTGGAGGTGCCGACAAAGGTTACTGCCGCACATTGAATGGCGAGGGGAACCGCCGAATTCGTCGTTTTGTGGAAGCTGGAGGAATCTACATCGGGTTCTGTGCTGGAGGCTATTACGGTAGTGGAAAATGTGAGTTCGAGGTCGGTAATAGACTGCTCGAGGTTATTGGCGACCGCGAACTGGCATTCTTCCCTGGTATTGATCGAGGGGGTGCCTTTCCTGGCTTTGTCTACAATAGCGAGAAGGGCGCTCGTGCGGCAGAACTACAAGTCAACAAAACTGCGCTTTCTTCAGGCGCTGTTCCAAATGTCTTCCGGTCATACTACAACGGTGGGGGAGTCTTCGTCGATGCAGCCAAGCATCGTAATAAGGGTGTTGAGATTCTGGCCAGTTATACTGAAGACCTTGCTGTTGACGCCGGCGAAGGAGCAGCAGCGGCAGTGTATTGTAAGGTTGGAGCAGGTGCTGCATTACTGACTGGTCCTCATCCAGAGTTCGTCTTCTGCGGCAAGCCAATAGACGATTGGTCACTAATGAAGCCTAGATTTGCCGCGGCAAAGATGGAGAAGAAGGAAGACGTTCCTGGGTTCCAACACATAATCGATGTCCTCGCTGGAGACGAAAAGCACAGGACGGATTTCATGAAAGCATGCTTGACAAAACTTGGGCTCAGCGTGACTGAGGAGCAAAATGTACCCTCCCTTTCTCACATCCATCTTTCCTCTCTTCAGGCATCCAAAACCAGCGAGCTTCTGAGATCTTTGAAGGAGATCGTCACGAGTGAGGAAGGGGAAGAATATATCGAAGACGATAATGACAAGTTCCACATCATTAAGCGATCGGTGTGGAGCTTAGGCAGTCTCTACCAAGCTTTGCCCTCATTATTGAAGGACGAGAAGACTGACCATGATACGGGTAGTGGGAGCGACAAGGACGGGATAGCCGACTATAATACCATCACTAAGGAAGTGCTTGTTCACGAGCTTGACCATCCCACTATCGAAGACACTCCGTACTTCGACCACGAGTCTTATTACAACAACGTCTCCCTTTTTAATACAGCAACGCCAGGTGCCCAATCAAGCTTCGGCCATCATCTGCTCTATGGAGAAGTCCTAACAAGCACCAACACGCTTCTCGAAAAGAATACACAGCTCCTCCGCCGTCTCCCAACCGGCTTCACCGCTGTCGCAACTTCTCAGCTTGCAGGCCGTGGTCGTGGTTCCAACGTGTGGGTCTCGCCGCCAGGCTCGCTAATGTTCAGCATAGTGATCCGACATCCCATGTCATTGATGCAACAGGCACCTGTGGTCTTCGTGCAGTATCTGGCCGCTCTCGCGATCATCGAGGGAGTCAAATCCTGTGACAAGGACCTCTATAAAGACATACCCATCAGACTCAAATGGCCGAACGACATCTACGCTCTCAATCCCGCCAGAGCCGCCTCAACTTCATTCTCCATCACCGACACAGCCAACGAGAGCATCAAGTCCACCATCAACCAAGACCAATACATCAAAATCGGCGGCATCCTAGTGAACTCGCACTACAACGCGCAAGACTACATAGCCGTCTGCGGCATCGGCCTCAACCTCTCCAACAACGCTCCCACCACCTCCCTCAACGCCTTGCTCCCATTCCTTCCGACCCAAACAACACAGACTCCACCGCCACCCCTGGCCCCGGAAAAACTCCTCGCCTCGATCCTCACCTCCTTCGACCGCCTCTACACCCGTTTCCTGCGCACGGGATTCGACGACCACTTCCTCGACATGTACTACGCGCACTGGCTGCATCAGGACCAGACCATCACCTTGGAAGCGGAAGAGGGACAGCCTCGCGCCAGGATCAGGGGTCTCAGCCAGGATTACGGATTGCTGGTCGCGGAAGAGGTCGAAGAAGTCGTTGGCAGGGCAGGGGAGTGGAGAGGCACAGGAAGACTGTGGAAGCTGCAGAGTGATTCGAATTCTTTTGATTTTTTCAGGGGCTTGGTGAGGAGGAAGTTGTGATGTTTGAGGGGTGTGTCGATTAAGCTCTCCTCAGAGGAAGGGAAGGTGGGAGGGCGGGATAGCTGGGTGCTTTGTCCTGGCATTGAAACGAGGAAGAAAAGTGTCCAGAGGGCAAACCAGCTTTCGCTCCGTTGGCGAAGACTCTGTGTACATGGATGCTTCTTGCATCCCTGATGGTGGGTCAGAATATAGGAATCAGGAACTGCATGGCCAATATTCAATCGTACGCTCGATCTCTCTACTGTGATCTGCATATTTCTTCGGCCATCTGTCTGCTAATCATCAGATAAATGGCATGCAATATATACACCCCATAATCATATCCACGTCCGTTTCCTCGTGTCCAGTTGATGTAAACCAAAGTCATACCAATTCACTCCAGATGTCATAAAATTGGACGCTCGCCATCGTCCTTCTATCCCAGTATTCCCGTCCCATCATCTTCTTCTGGACTCCGATAGGCTTCCCTACCAGGAAGCTAAGGTCCTCTCACCATCCTCAGTCCTTGCTCTCTCATCCACCGCCGCCGCATCATTCGGTGGCGGTGGCGGTTGGGGTGTTGAATCGGCACTCGTAGTGCTGGTCTCGGCCCTGGCGTTGCCCTCGCTGGCATACCATGTGCTGGGTCTTCTCTCAGTAGCTTCGGACCCATCATTCCGACTTCGTGGTGGTAATGGATCTTGTGAGGACCGCACGCTAAATCTGTCCCTCAACCGTTGGCTCAGCACCCTACTCCTTCGGTGCACAGCTGCGTTCACATCTGCATCGGTATTTTCGGCGCCATTCACGTCATGGTCCGCCTGCTGTTGCCACTGCGGCCGCCTCTCCTCCCTCCATCTTCTCAAAATCCAAATCCTCTCCTCCCTGCTCGCCTCGATGATAGTCTGTAAATCCAGCGCCCTAGTCCCACGCATTATCCCGCCAAGTGTGCTTCTCGGTCGTTGTTGCGCTGCTGCTGTATCCGCATAGACAGGATTGATGTTAGTAGGTATGCTAGGGTCTTGGCTATTTTCCTCTGTGATTTCTTGGGGAGGGCGGAGGTCGATGCGGCAGAGGGGACAAGTGCCGGAGACGTTCAGGAGCCAAGGATCAACACAGAGCGGATGAAATTTATGGTTACAGGGGAGGACGCGGAGGGCTTCGCCAAGCGTAAAGTCTTCAGTGCAGATTGAGCAGCTGAGGGGGTCTTCGGCGGTTTCAAGCGACTCGTCAGCTGGTGCTGCTGCTCCTACTGCTGTTGGGTTAGGGGGTGCGGGCTTGTTTGTCGTGAGGTCCGCTGAGCCCTCATCGCTCGTGGCGAGCGGTGTTCTCGGCCTTGTCGGTTCTGCAGTGGCCTTGGAAGTGCCCGGCTCATCCTCTGCTCCTCGTTGTTCTGGCTCGGAGTCCTTGATCTGAGCTGCTGTCTCTTTTGTAGTAGGGCTCATCTCCACGTCTTCTACGGTTCCAACAGATTTTGACTGCTTTGGATCAGGATCACCGAATCTCACAATTGGTAGCGTCTCCAGCATGGCCATTGCAATCCCCTTGGCTCGGCTCTGCCTCGGTCTGCCCATAAAACGTGCTCTTGGACCGTATCTTTCGGGATGTCGACGAGCCTTAATTGCTCCGCCGATGATGACAAGTAGGAGGAGCACGGTAATCATGCTGGTAAGTGCATACAATATGATCATTGCTACGCAAGAGAGTTAGTGTGATAATGTGCAAAGTGCCAAAAACGAGGCGGCTTACGTATTGGACTGCCTCTTCGTGGAGGATCAAGACGGGTTCCGGGAGGTAGAGAAGATAGATCCGCAGCTATCTGGACGACTCCTATGCTATCGTTATTGAGTTCAAGTGCAGCAACCTGCCTCGCTTGCTCCATATCTCCGACAGTAAGCAAGTTGAGCCATTCCGCAACAGCCAATGTGTCAGTAATGCGGCAATGCGTATGAGTCTCGGAGTATAATACTGCAGCCAGGACGTTCCGAACGTCGGTAGATTTGAAGGCGTCGCTGATGACTTCCATGACGTCGGGATCATCGCAGGAAATGTACGGTATTGTGAACGCGGACAGCCCGGTGGCGGTGGAGGAATTCACGTTTTGTAGATTACCGCTCACTATTGTACTCTACCCTGAATCAGTTCTGATCCAGATTTCTGGGTGGGACATCTTACCGAGAAGTCCTCTGGAGACAAGCTCCACAGACTTGCGCTCAGCGGAATAAGGCCAATTGAGCCTATTCCGAGCACGCTCAGCTCGCTCCCATTCATGATATATCGATATTGTGAAGGATAATCCGCTGGATTATCCGATGGCATAACCTCATGGGCCGTCGCAAATAGTCCCCATGGCAGTGCGAGAACTAATGCCAGCATGGACCAGAAGGAGAGACGTAGCCTTCCTCCCGCCATTTATACTCCAGTTTGTGCTGTCCTACTAATGTGATGCTATCCTTGATAGACGACTCCGGGCGTGATGGAACGCACCAGAACGGACGTTTCGGAATCTTCGGCAGCAGATGAAAAGATGAATCGGATGGCATCTGAGATGATGTGCGTGTCTCTGATGTGGTATTGGTCGGAATGCAAATGTCAAGCTGTCAGCGCAGCGGGCGTACACAGAGGGGAGAGCCTAGGAGTCAGGTCCTTGCTTGCAATGTCATGGTGATGGTGCTGGGCCTTTTCAAAGCCGAAGCGTCAGCAGGCCTTTGGACATGTATATCCCAGCAAATGTACAGCAAGTTGAGAATACTATGTACTTTTCATCTTCGGAGGTCTTAATTTCGATGATGCCCGCCTGAATCGGGGTTGACAAAGATCCTTGAGCAAATCCATGCCGGGAGGAGAAATGGATCAGCCGATCCCTGGTATGGTACGGATGCTAATAGTCGTAGCTACCTTACCTACTAATGTGACCAGACCACATTTGCAACGGATCCCATTTGCAACAGAAATTGCTTGGCGTACTGGCATATTTCAGTTATTCAAACGTTGCTGGCGTTGTTCTGGAGATAGAATTGATTGAAACAACTGAGATAGCCATTTTGTAAACCAAAATTACTTGATGCTGGCCATTTGATCATTCTTGGTGCTGGTTTTGATGAATATTTTAGAATGGCAGAGAGCTAAAATTAGGGGGTTGATAATTTTGGTAGGGATAGAGATAGTTAAACCGTGCCAATGGGGATCCGTTGGAAATGCGGTCTACTTATGTAATGTTACTGTACGGGGTACATTGCGGAAGTCTTGCGAAAAATTAGGCACTATTGATCCAGAGGTAGGTTTAGGCGAGTCAGAATGACGAACCAACTGAACGCGGCCAGGTAAGCGTTCTACGTCCACTACGTAGGAGACAGAAAATCTGTTGGTGGCTCTGCGTTGCAAATGTTTACTCTGTTCTCTGCTGACACGTTTTCTGATTGTGCACAAGGTAATTAAGATTGCAAGCCTCTGTCTGTCAATTGTCGAGAAAACCACCCGGAAGTTGGTGTTTCCAGCCCACTCGACATGGCGCCACAAGTGTTATATATGGGGGTAAAGTGCTGCCTCCTCAAGCATGTCTGATTATCAAGACTGATGACCTCGATCAGATCCTCCGAAACGACCCGCAGCCTGCGCTGGAGCTTGCGGTGGAGAAAGATCTTTCAAGCTTCTCTAGATTTACACGACAAAAGTACGCCCCAAACCCTAGGTCACCATGCAGATCCTCAAGGCTAACACAATGCACGAACAGCTATGGCGAATTCATGACCATGTTCGCTAAGACCGTTGCGGAGCGTACAAAACCGGGCATTCGTCAAGATGTGGAGGAGAAACAATATACGTTCCATGCCTACGCCTCGTCACAAGGTATCTGCGGCATCATCATATCAGACCCTACCTACCCGAAGATGGTAGCCCACGGTCTTCTTTCGAAACTGGTTGATGAGTTTACCAGCGCGCATCCACGCTCCCAGTATACAGGGACCAATGTCGGGCAGCTGGATTATCCACAATTGAAGGAATATATTGTGAAATACCAGAATCCCGAGGAAGCTGATAGTATCATGAAGATTCAGCAAGAGCTTGATGCGACAAAGGTAAGCATTCAGAGTGGTGGGGTATCACTCAACTTAAAGGCTAATTTCTCTCGCCAACAGGTAGTGCTACACAAGACAATACAGAGCGTGCTGGTAAGCGATATTCCACATTTCCCGACAGGCAGACTACTAACCACAATGACTACCTAGGAACGTGAGGAGAAGCTAGACACTTTGATTGAGAAGTCCAATGAGCTGTCAGGGCAAAGTAAAATGTTCTATACGCAAGCGAAGAAGCAAAACTCGTGCTGCATTGTGATGTAGTATCGGGAGTCAACTGAAGCAACCGTCAAGCTGTTCTGAGGATGATACGATTCTTGTGGGTATAGGCGTACCGGCATATGAACGGCGCTAAGGGAAGCACGGTCAATAGAGCAATATATCATGGTTAAAACCACCACCCTACTCTGGCACAACAAGCCCCCCTCCTCCCCATTTTCTACCAAAAGAAATTCCAAGAAACTGATCCCCTAACCGCTAACTTTGTTCCCTTGACCTCCCCCCTCCCCTCCCAGCCAACCTCTCCAGCCTCTCCCCTTCAACCCTAACCACACTCCACTCCTCCAAAACCTTCCCACCCACAGCATCCGACAGATAAAAATCAATACTCGGCTGATTCCACTTCAGCACGCTCCAATCCATCCGCTTGCAGCCCAACCTCAAACATTCCCTCGCCAACTCCGCCAGCAGGGCCTTCCCGTACCCCTTTCCGCGGAACTCGGGTCGGACGAACAGATCTTCCAGGTAGATGCCCGGCGCCGAGGTCCAGGTCGAGTAGTTGTGGAAGTAGAGTGCCATCCCCGCGACGGTCACGGAGGAGTTTTTGGCCGGTTCGGAGGAAGAAGAGGAGGGGGAGGGTGAAGCGATGATTACAAGGAAGATCAAGTTGGATGAAGTTGAAGAGAAGGGTTTCAATGCCCTCATCAATGACAAGGATAATCATGTCAAAATACTGGTTGATATTGGAGCCTATCAGGTCGAGGATGGTGGGGACATCTGGTGACAAAGAAAAGAGAGGGCGGAGTTCAGTAGAGTGACGTTTTAGTAGGGATGGTAGGGAACATCGGGAGAGGAGATATGCGGAGGCAAATGTTGCAGATATTTGAAGGCATAGATATGGTCTGGAGCCTCGAAATCTGGCATGGAAAAGACCTAGGTCTGTAGAAGGAAATGCCGACTCAAAAGTACGTCGAGCAGAGAAGAAATGGGAGGGTACCTTCTTCTGTCGCATGACGGATTGTACAGGACATCTTCGTTTAATGATCGGTCTCCAACTGGACTTTGAAATGGGTCTCACAGAGTATGTAACGATATCGGTATATAGACAGTCGAGGAAACGACAATTGAAATTCCGCGAAATTTTAATCGATGTGGGAAACGGGAGAAGGGGGTTCAGAAATAATCTCCACGTCCTCGCTTTGCGTCGGTCCACATGACACCCATACCCGCATGAGCTATTGAGTAATGAATACGCCGTACACGTTTGACAGGATCCTACATGTCCGTATTCGACAATTCGACTGGTCTCCATCATCAAGCCAGATTCCTACGTTACGTTTGGGGTTCCCCTACCCCTGTGCAACCACGACTGCTCAGGGGTAGGGTCTTGGCACTACATCGCCGGCGAGCTCTCGCCAATAGGCCTTGAATGCTGTTCGACAATGTGCTGGCTGCGGAATGCCTTGCAACCTGTGGCCGACGCTAGAATTGGCTGCAATCACTATCTCAGCGCCAGAGAAGTCGCCTGCTGATGTAGTCTGTGCCACGGACACTCTCCTATTCTCGAACTCAGCTCAGCCCTAACTAATCGACTTTCAGCCATGCACAGCTTTGCGAAGCTTCTTGGTATTCGAGATCACAACAGATGGACCGTGAGATAGATCTACAAGACCAGAAATCATCAAGTCCGTCCCATCCTACAAGCAGAGAAATCTGCTGTGACGATGCTGACACTGTGTGTGCAGTGCGGGGATGGAAGCATTGAGAAATGAAGACCTCCTACACGAAGTTTCCAAAGGACTACAAGCCATAAATGGCAATGCTGCCAGAAGAGGGAATAGTGACGTGATTGAATAATCATTCTGCCGCTCCGCCATAGGCAGGCTGTCTGTCTATCCATCTATACTCCTATTAACCATACCAGAAACATTTCCACATCGCCATCAGGGCACCCGCTCTATCTTTACCGGTCTAAGGCGCAGAATAGTGGTAAAACCAACAATATTGTGTTTACTCTATGCATCTGATGATGGACTCGCATTCTCCACTCCTTCCTTCTTTCCCTTCTCCATCTCCTTCGCATGACTTTCCGAGATGTTCAATGCCAAGAATGACTGTGGCAGTTTCACCTGATCGAATTTTGCCTTTAGCGTCTCGATCACAGTCTTCCAGTTCTGATGAGCTGTCAAGCTTCTTACTGGAGCTGTGCCAATGGCATGCCTAGAGTCAAGAGACACATCCAGAGGATCGAAAGTGTGACAGCCAGGACTGATAGAGATTCGAATTGAATACTCAAACTCTGCCGTCTCATTATCTTTGGCTTCGTACAATTCAAATCGAATCTGAGACAGGTAATCGAGTTCGGGAATTGTGGCTCGTGGAATTTTGGTCTCGATGCCACCTTCCAAAATGCAATTGAGGAGAGTGTAAATGTGGGATTCTTTGGTGAAATAGATGAACGACTTTGCATCTGGAGAGGCTTGAAGCTCCTCCAGATCTTGAACGATCTCTCTCAGAAGAGGTAGCGAGGTAAGGAGGCCGATTTCAAGCTTCTCGCTATCACTGATGCCGTATTCTTGCGGGCCGATATAGTCAAACAGGATCTTGGCGTACCGATACAATTCTCGCAAACGAAACAGCCGTTTGTCGACCTTGAGCTTAGTGTCTCCGCTGCCGGAGTAGAGTTTGAAATACGACTTATCTTCGATGGTTGGAATTGGCGGTGTGGACTGTCCACCAAGCATAGACCTGCGCCGGAAGCCCATTCTGTGTGCAAAGCCTTGCGACTGAGATCTGTCGGGAGATGAGCCTAATGTGGTGCTGCTCTCTTGACGTGATAGAGGTGATATCCTTTCCGCTTCAATAGCCTCTTGCTCTTCTTTCGCGATTTCGTCGAGCAGAGTCTGACTAGGCATGAAGATCCACTCTAAAAAACTCTTGTTGTGAAGAGCGTCAAACTTGCAGGTGTCATACAGCTCGCTGATTTTGGACGGATCCGCTTTTTCGGAATCGCAGAACTCAGCAAACAACTTCTCCCATCGTTCCTTGAATAGCTCGGCATTCTCTCCAGTACACCATCGAGACTGAATAGAAGCAGTGGTCTGCGCTTCATTGATCACTTTCGTAGATGGCCTGCTCTCTTTGACATCGCCATTCCCGTTGATGGCTGCCAGAGAGGCAACGGCACTACCGTCAAGTCGTTTGAAGTTATGTCGCATCACCCGACGGTGGAATTTCATAAGCTCCACGACCTTCCCCATCACAACCGATGGCTCTGGTGTATTCTTGGGCCAGGCGAACTGCTCAGGGGCGGAGTTACCCTCTCGAAGTAGCAACTTGAGCTTCTTCTTGACTTTATCCATGACATCTTTTGCAGCATTGGAATCATCAAGCAGATCCTTTCTCACAGTGATGGAACCGTCAGGGAGACTTTGCTGCTCAAGGAAAGAAGCTGCCCAAATCGCAGCACTGGTACTGACACGTCGTTCGGAGCTCGTGAACACTCTCACATCGTCGAGAGTTTCTCTATTCATCAGTTTGAGGTCGTCTCGCATACTCTGTCCGAGATCTTGAGCTTGATACCTGGCCGAGTGTGTTGGCTCACCACCCCATTTTATGACAAGCTGCAATTTGTCAAGAATAAGGTCTTCCTCAGCCGCAGAGAACCGCGAGAAAGTGACATTTGAGATGGAGTTACTTCGAGTCGGAGTACGATCTAATTCAGAGGAGGCTGATTGGTTGCCGTGAGTAGCATCTGCAACTTTTAGTCGCTCAGGCTCGGAGATCGCTGCCTGGGCCGGAAATGACGGCGTTGTAGCCTGTTTGGGTGACTGGACGAAGTCTTCTGACTTCCTCTTTCGAAACATCGGCTTGATCTGCACTTTCGTCCCAGCTTGTCCGCCTTTCCTTGCCAATGCATTTCGCAATAGCCTCAGCTTGTCGTAATCTTCTAACATTTGTGACATTGCTAGCCGGACGGCAGCTTCCACACTAGCAAGTGCCGCTTCACCTTTCAACAGGACCTCTTCTTGATGACCTTTTAAGAGATCGACGAATGGCTGCGAGTGGAAGGTGAATTTGAATTTCTGCTTGGGGGTCCTGTCGGCATGTCGGATAACAGCCACCAGACCTTTTAACTTCCACGAATGTTTGGAGTTAGGAAGCGGAACGGCGACATCCCTGTTTTCTTGGACAGGGGTAGATCTAGCACCACTATTGCCGTCTGCGGTTGTCACGACTGGTGGTGGCAGCATCTCCAATTGGTCTGCTGTTTTCGTCATAGACTTCGTTGTTTGCCTCTGCTCGATATCTGGATGCGAAGACATTGGAGTATTCGTCCCAGATACATCAGGTGATATTGTCCCTTGTGCATGCTTGTTGCTGTGAGGACGATGAAGATGATGCGAGAGCTTACTCATGCTGGGTGAGTTTAATAGCTCCTTTAATGCAGACTTATGAGCTGCCGGTGGGACGCTTTCGTGACGTGGCTTGTTTTCTGTCCGAGGCTCGGAACTGGAGTCGTCTACAGTATTCTCATTCTTCATCTTTTCTTTGGTGAACATATCTCGCAAGATCTGCGCAGATCTGTCGTAGTAATCGTTGTTGTCTTTGACAAAACTCCATCCATTGACATCAATGACATAGCTTGTGCCATTTGCTCGTAGGAGATCGAATCCACAGATACGCTGACCAAAACCATTTGCAATTTTCGCAGCTATTGCAGCCTCTTCCGGACTGAGAGTAGTTATGTATCTCAGCTCCTTTCCGTGCAAATTTCGTCGAACAAGTCCATCAACCACAGGCGATTTTCGAGTTTCGGCATGGCAGTAATCAGGACCGACAGTGTATGCTTTAACATCTTCGGCATTTTCCACGTGCAAGAATTGTTCATAGATGTAGCTAGAATTCTCCTCGGTGATACATCTTGGAACAATCAAGTTAGGATCAAACTCGGACGATTTATTGCCGATTTTGCGAAAGAGCCTGCGCCCGCCACCTCCATTCTGGGATCGGGGAAAGTAGACCATGACATTGTGATCTTCTCCGTTAACAGGCTTTTCCACAAACGGTTTCTTTAGAGATCTGCCATCAATGAGGATCGTATCACCGTCGTCTATCAAATCGATTTTTCTCGTGTGCGGCATGCCACCACCAGTTCCGTCTTCTGCGCCTTCAAGTGTGACTCCCACCATTTCCTTGACGTGTTGAGCAAGCGCGGCTGATTCGAATCTTGGGCCTCCGTCTCGATTGACCTCAAGCCTTTTTGGAGTTGGCACACCCATCTTGTCTAGAATTCGTAGGCATAATCGACGATCCCAAAGCACTTTCTGCATTGACAAATCATTCACGACGAATGGCTTCCGCAACTTAACATATCGAATAGCCTTCTCCAAGGGAAAGCCATCCGAGAAGAAAGATATGAGAAAATCACTAGGGCCGAAACGTCAGTATCCATGAACGGGGGTTGAAGTTAGCATAAGGTGATTCCTACCAGATTGGCCAATTCTCAACGTCTTTCCAGACATCATTAGCTCAGATATGTGAAGGTAGAGGATTGTGCTCACCCTCATCTAAAATGACCTTGTCACCAAACACAATAACCTCAAATTCACCTTGACCCTGAAGGCGGGTCAAAATGCTTCGGCTTGGTCTACTGCGAGCTTTTACATCGAGTGCGCAGACCCCAATCTTGCCGATAAAGGGAACTTTGGCTGTAACAGCATCAGCTGAAGGTGTGGTTGGGTTGATGTGGACCGACGTACTCTCGGGCTCGCTGCCTGCGGTGCTGGTGGCGGTTGAGCCGCTAAAACGTCGCCGTGTAGCAGACACCGATCGAGTAGGGCGAGGAGCTCTAGGTGGAAAAGCGCCATCTTTGTTGGTAGGCAAATTATTGGCGCTGCCTATATTGTTTGGAGAAGGTTTCGTGCTGAGAGCAGGCTCACTAGGAGTGAGCGCTGGCGGAGATATCAAAGCTGCACTGGCAGTTTGGGGTACGGACGAGGTTGTGACGGCTGTTTTGTCTGTCGCTGTTGTTGGAGGCCCAAATGTGGGACTAGCAGGCGCTTTCCGTAGGTTCTGAAGCTCCTCCGCTGTAACACCTTTCTCAGACTCGCTGGAGCTTGACACTATAAAAGGTACGTCAGCACTCGCCCCTGACATGATCGTTTGCACAGATACAGAGGACTCGGCGAGGATGGTTCGGCCTTATATGGAGGCAGCTTTAAAATTTGCTTATTCACATTGCTGATTGAATCACAGCTTCAAGCCGGAAGAGAGTGCTGGCTTCTTGCTCACCACTAGATATATTGTTCTCTTCCGAGCGTCTTGACGGCTTGACGGAAGCGGAAAGCCGCCTCTCATTGGCCGGCTTGGACGAGGGTGGAGGCATGCTGATGCTTGGTCGGTCCATGGTAGTTTTCGTATGCTCTGTGCCAGCTTGCAGACCTTTCCTGCGGACTGATGAGGCATTAGTTGCAGACAAAAGCGTGTGTGAGCTTGATCTATGAGGCGCTCGTGATGGGACGGCAGCCTTTGTAGAATCAGAGCTAGGATTAGAAGGTATGACCCTTGTCAGACTTGGTGTCTCTTCCTCTGGTATCAGCTCTGGGTTTTGCTGAATCCCAGTCTTTTCCTGCAAGGCTTCTGCCATTCCATTGGCACACCGTATGTACTATGATGTCGAAAGATCTGAGGCACTTGGCGGCCAATTGTGCTCATTGCGGCCCCTGTAGCCCGTCCAGTGGGCACAAGTGGTGAATATCTATCAGAGCCTTTCTATCTAAGTCTGAACGTAACCCGACAAAGGGCTGTGGTGGCAGGAATACGAACAGGAGTGCTCGTCCACATCGCCCGCCCGAAACAGGTGCCAGACTGTGGGGTTGGTCCTTCGGTCCTTCGGTCCGAGGTCAATTGTGTAAATATTTGGCAGAAAAAAGTTGGAGATCCATCAGTGCAACTCTTTTTCTTGCGGTACAGAAATTGTCCACTGTTCAACCATTAAAATGGGTAGGAGCGCACCAATGATATCGCCTGCTGCCGCTGCGACTCTATGAGAGAAATCAGCAATAGTGGTTGCACGAATGCCACAGCCCATGGAATTTGCGCTTCCTGTCGCAAAACGGCAGAGACGTGAGAATGGGAGGATAGAGAGCGAGAGAAATCCTCAACGAGGCTCACGTCTATTTGCTCCGTACAGAGTAGGCGAATTTACCGTTTCTTTGAGGTACATGCTAATGGTTCGCGGACCATCGGTCTCGTTTCTCCAACATCAGTCCCCTTCACCTCCGTACCTTTGGGTAAGACTACCTTTCAGATCACCACCTCTGTTGGAAGGCAGCTTCAGACATACGACATACGAAAAGGCCTGAATCTGGTCTTTCTGAGTAGTCCACAGACTCCGCAAACGATTACTGCAACATGCGCATATAGAGATCGAGTGGTGGTTGCCTGGGGAACAGGCCAGAGCGCACAGGATCAGGGCATCTGGGTTTTCAAGAGAGGGAGGCTTGTAGAGCAGATAGACCTACCTGATGGCTCGCAGGAGATAAGGCAGCTACTCGTCATGGGAGCATGGCTTGTTGCTTGTGGTACTAAGACGATAGAAGTATGGAAGACTGAGGATGGCTGCTACGAGCACTACACAACACTGGCACCTTCTCGTTCTGGAGTGCAGCCGGGTGATCAGATCTTGTCTGGGTTGATATGCAACATGCCGACATATCTGAACAAGATACTGGTCGCTAGACTGGATGGGACGACCGAGATCTGGAACATAAGCACCGGCAGATGCGTGTATGCGATAGCACCTCCAAAAGTGACTTCAGGCGCCGTCACTGCACTCCAACCGACTCCAGCTCTGTCGGTTGTAGCTGTTGCATATGCAGACGGATCCCTGGTTATCCATGATATCGAGCATGATGAAGCAATTCTTTCCTTTCACCAATCTTCTTTCCCAATCACATCAATCACTTTTCGCACGGACTGTCTCGGCGCTGGTGAAGATGGCCGTGAAGATGGTGTCATGGCCACTGCGAGCGTGAATAGTGGAGATGTTACTTTCTGGGATCTGAATAGCGGCGGTCGTGTTGCTGGAAAGCTTCGAGCAGCGCATGAGACGACACGCAACAGGGGCTCAGGAATTACTAAAATCGAGTTCCTCCCCAACCAGGCAGTCCTGGTTTCAACTGGGCTTGATAATGCTCTGCGCAGTTGGATATTTGACCACACTCCATTCTCTCCTGTTCCTCGAATATTGCATGCACGTAGCGGCCATGGAGGCCCGGTCACTACGCTAGATTTTCTACCTACTTCCTCCGATGGGTCGGATGCTGCGAGCAAGTGGCTCCTTTCAGCGAGTCAAGCCAGGGACCTCTGGGGTTTTAGTCTCCGCCGTGACGGGCAAAGCTCGGAACTCAGTCAAGGGAATGTCAAGCACAAAGCGAAAAAGAGAGGCCATTTGCATGACACATCATCCACGTTGGAGAACCTCAAAGCCCCTCCAGTCACTATGATCGCATCCACGCTGAATAGAGACGGAGGCATGGGGGCCAGCAGTGGTCCGATTTGGCAGAATGTAAAACGCTCCAGCGCTGAAGAGTCAAGTATGACAGGGTGGGAGAGCGTTGTGACAGCTCACGAAAACGATAATATTGCGCGAACCTGGTTTTGGGGACGCAAACGTGCGGGCCGTTGGACGCTGAAAACAGGTGACAGCAAGCCTGTTTCGAGTATAGCCATGACCGCTTGTGGTACGTTTGCAATAGTAGGATCGAGTGGAGGCAGCATCGACATGTACAATCTTCAGTCAGGCATGCATCGTCGAAAATTCCCACCTAAACTCACTCCAGCCGAAGTTAAACAAGTCCGGCTACGCCAGTTGCGAAGCGATACAGAAATGGCCAATCGAGGACATCACGGCAGTGTAAGTGGAATCACAGTCGATGCATTGAACCAATCCATGGTGTCTTGCAGTCTCGATGGATCGATCAGGTTCTGGGATTTCGCCACCGGTCTGCAAACTCACCAGCTTATAGCCGCCTCCTATGCACCTACTGCTCTTAGATACAACGCACCATCAGGTCTCATATCCCTAGCCTGTGACGATCTGTGCATACGGGTACTGGATATCGAGACTAAGAAAAAGGTTCGTGAGTTCTGGGGTTGCAGAGGACAGATCGACGATCACTGTTTCTCTCATGACGGCAGATGGATTGTCTCCTGTGCTAAGGATTCGGTGATCCGTGTTTTCGACCTTGCGACTGGACATCTGATTGATGCATTTAAGACTGCTGCATGCACCAGCCTCAGCTTCTCCAGCACGGGGGAGTATCTTGCTACTGCGCATGCCGACTCTATCGGGATCAATATCTGGAACAATATAACGCTGTTCCGCCATGTTTCTTCTCGGCAAATTGATGAGCAGACCGGAATCATTGACCTCACCGATAGCGCAATCTTTAATAGTAAACCCATGTTAGCCATTGAGGATAGCATCGCAGATGATCAACTCCTAGAAGTCGAAAGCACCAACGAACTTGAACAGCTCAACCACGACCTCCTCACCCTATCACTTGTCCCGAAATCACGCTGGCAGACACTGCTCCACCTCGATGACGTTCGAGAACGGAATAAGCCCATCGAGCCTCCGAAAGCACCTTCAAAAGCGCCATTCTTCCTCTCATCCGCCTTAACCACAACATCACAGCGGAAGACTCTAGAAGACGACACAAACAATGCCGTCACACTCGCCGAACGCTCCCGTATCACCAAACTACAAAACTCAGTACAGACGAGGGAAAGCGACTTCTCGAATCTCCTGGCCAGATTCAGCACGAGCCTCGACCCCGACGCAACCGACGTCATCTCACACCTGTCCTCGCTCTCACCATCGCAGATGGACCTTGAGATTCGAACCCTGACAGTTTCAGAGATGGTACCATTTGTAAATGCCTTGACGGCTCGGCTGCAGCTGAAGCGGGATTTTGAGCTCATCAACTCGTTCATGGCGTGCTTCTTGCGGATGCATGGAGATGTAGTACAGGAGGAGGATGAGGAGGCTGAAGGTGGGCAGCTGAAGGCCGCGATGAGAAGGTGGGATCGGGCGATGAGGACAGAGGAGGAGAGGTTGGGTCAGCTGATCGGGTATTGTAAGGGTGTCATAGATTTCCTGCGTAGTTCGCGATGACGCCTGGGCTGGGTGATGGATGATAAGAATGATGAAAGCCTTCTCTTATGTGTACAATGCCATATAACAGCCTAGGCTAATGCACACAAATCCCGTGCCAAAAACGCGCGTCCCTGTTCCGTGCTTTGCTTTGTGATATACTGATCATAGCATCATTCCTTAACTTGCCATTTTGTTGGCCCCTCTAAACAGCTCTGCCAGTTTGACGATAGTGTGAGTGAAGTAGCATCACCTCACAAACCCTCCCTAAACATGCTCCTCCTCTCTGTCGGACTATTCTCTTGACTCCCACCACCACCTTTCCCCTTCCCATTTTGACCCACATCCGCATCAACCATCGGTCTGGGAGACACTCCTCTCAGACTCGGCACTTCGTTCGTATCACTGAACGGGTTATTGCTGTCAACTCCCCTTGGCAACTGGCTCCCAGCTCCGCCCATCTCCTGATCATACCTCCTATCCAAGCCCTGCTGACCACCCACCACAGCCGAAGGGTCACGATGCTGGGTCCGTCCTCTCACGTCTGCGCCCTCGCCGTAAGCAGGCATAGCAGCTCCGGCATGACTTTCGTACAGCCCAGGGGTCGGCGCCAGACCAAGCTCCTGCTCCTCGTAATACCCACCGGGCCCAGCAGCACCGTAGGCATCCGCTTCATTACCCACCCTTGTATCCCACGCCTCGTCTGGATCCATGCCCCTCGCCCGTCTACCGCCGGCATACGCTGACTGTCCTGTACTGCCGATGGGATACCCACCGGCCTCCTCGTAATGACCTGGCGCTGTTCTGTTGCGCCCCTGTCGCAGCGTACTGAGCTTGTCTTTGATCCATTCGATGGGATTGCTGGAGCGAGGGGTGGGAAGAGCGCCAAACCCGCCGCTGCCGTCGGATTTGAGGAAGGGAATGTAAGAGCGCCAGGAGGGAGGGGGCAGGCCGGAACGTCGGGCGCGGATTTGCGTGAAGATCACCCAGCCGATCGCGCCGAAGATGAGGAGGAGGAAGAGGAGAAGGAAGAAGAGGCCCGCGCCGCCCATGTTGGGGGGTAGGTTCGATGTGGTGTGTGGGGTGAAGGCCGTTCAATGGGGGTGCGTTCGGTAGTAGAGTCTGGTTATGGGTTCGGATGCATGGGGATGACTGTTTACAGCATGAGGCGAAAAGGAGAGACGGTCAAGAAATACTCAATCTACCTCCTGAATGGGTTGGATGTCTTAGATGGATGTTTGCTGGGATGAAATTCAGCTATGACATAAATTGGCTTCAGCAATGGAGGATTGATGCCGATTCTGCGTGACTAAGCATCAAGTCGCTTTTAATACAAATAATCCGTAACGATTGGTAACCTACTAACCTACCTGCTACCCCAAGGCTTTGATCCAGATCCTGCTATTTGCAGCTGCGTGATTAAAACTTGTTGAGGATGGTTAGGCCTCACCCGTTTCACGCAATGGGTGATTCGGAACTTCTTGCAAACTTCGAAGTTGGCCTTTTGTTAATCTTAAGTATCAACTATCGCCAATAGCCATCCAATCACTCTCTCAATTGTCGATCTCACTGCATGCAATGTAATATACCCTCCGTCCGAGCTACGTCTCCTAAACGCGGTATAACTTTCACTTGCACTAGTGAAATCCTTCTAAGATACGACTATAGGTAGGTGAATGCCGAGGTTTGCCTCGGATGTTCTTGGTCGGTGTTGGTAAAGTTCCTTCTAAGCAAATGGATCCCCATTACTAGTAGGTGGATGTTTCGTGGCCAAAGACAGCGAGAGTATGGCTGGCTCAGCCGTGCAGCATATCTATGACGGACTATTATAAATCTGTAGCCTCTGAGGGCCAATTTGTCGCAAATGATGGCATATCTTGTCTCGTCAAGCGTCTTTGCATACATCCTATTGAAGATTGAATTCACGTCATTCCAGGTGATGTTCTCCGCTGAAGGTTCGACGAACGACTCTGCCTTGTTTTCGCCTCTATACAACTGCCCATTGATTTTGATGGCTCTGGCGCCAGGTCCTTCCCAAGACGCAGTGACCGCTTGACTCAGAGCTCCTTCTGCGTCTGAGCCTTCAAATGATCTGTCGCGTCCACGGGCTACCCATCTAAGTTCTTCGCTTGCATGCCTATCGGAGCCAACACCTCAAAAGTGACCTTTTGAGATCGATGCCAGAGAATCTCAAAGCAACTTTCCAATCTTCTTGATGCTGTATGGTCGGGCGGAATCGAAGAGCCGTCCCTGTATAGATGGCAGCAAAGTCTAGCATTAGGGGTATGCTTCGACCAGCCATCTAGGCCGGGCGGCACCAATGACCGCCCACTCCAATAGTGGTTTAGTACTTGCTTGCTGTCTACCGGTGACTTTGACCCAACAGCCTAGATGGTGAACGGCGCAATAACAAGCCAGAACTCCACATCCAGATCTTAGAGATTGCCACTGAATGTGACCGTACTCACGTCCCATACCTGATTGTCTAGAGTCAAATTACCAACCTTTCAAAGCAGCAAAAAGCGTCACCACCGACTAGCTTCGGCCATTGGATGAATTGAAGGAGGTTTGTGTCTTGTTACTTCTGCCGTGTTTGCTTGGTCGATATTAAGCATGTACCCACTGATCTGCGCTCTGATGCTGGGGCGCCTACCTTTTCCTGCCAACAGAAACCTCATCGAGCGCTTTTACAACCTGATTGCGATACCTCCCTTGGTATCAAAATATGAGACACGTGAGGTCATCACTTGCCCTTCTGTAGTGGAGAACAAAATGAGATCTGATGGCACCGCCCCACAGACATTATTAAATATGGATCCATATATTCTTCAGTCTGCTCAATGCCGTAGGCTACTAACAGGTTTTCGTCAGCCCAAGCTGGCCAGCGCCTCCACTGATCATCTACGATCGTGTCCTCAAACAGTGACATATTAGGCGTGATGGTAAGAACATGAAGTGGAGAGCTGAGGTAGAAAGCTAGGTTGTTCACATCCAGCGCGACACACTTTCCAAAAAGACGGTGTGATCGGTCAGTTGGTCGTAGGGTGAATGCAGTGATGTTTCATAGAGGTAGAGGCCTCCGCGTGGCCATCGCAGGCCGATGCAGTCCACAGTATAGATCGCCAGTACCGCACATGCCACTGTCTAGAAAGCTGGTCATAACCCGCAGAGGATTATTTGATTATCAAATCTACCCGATTGTTGGATAGTCATAACATGAGAATAACTGAGGTTTACAGTGTGATGAAGGAAGAATAACATTTGTCTGCTTAGATAATTATACCTTGGCGTTGCAACGGGTAGTATGGAACCCCTTTCAGAAGTATGTTTGTTACTACAAAAATGTAGTTTGCTATCTCACCATCTTAGCCATAACAGCCAGTACTCTATTTGTGATCTTCACAGTGAAGATGGAGATGATCTAGGGGTGCATTGCCTACATTGCTTCTCAGCTCGTTCTGAGAGCGTCACCACTTCCGCTGAAATCAGAGAACAAGCAAACTTCCACGAAAAAAATGGATAGCTCAACTCTGGACTCTCGTTCACACCGCCTCCGTAGGGGCAAGTTGTGGGCTTGCCTCTAGTGCTGGGAATCTGACGCTGCTGAAAATAAAGAAATTGCATTCCACAGATCAGCTCGGCTCCGGACATGACAACACCGCTGTCTCGGCAACTTGGGCATGGGACTTCTGTTCGATGAGCATACTCACTGCTCAGATACGGCGTGTTTGCCATTCGAGCGGTGTGACAGTTTCTCTGTATGTGGGCTCTTTCAGGCTATAAGTATACTCCCGTCACCCTTCGTTGATTTGAGAAAGAAGGCTTGAATAACCACCGGCCCCTTTTCCTTCCCAATTCACAAGTCGTCCTCATTAGTATCTGAGCAACATGCCTGTCGAAAAGAATGATTCCATTACCGTCCCATTGGACAAGCTCAAGAATGACGCCATTGTACCCCTCAAGTGGCAGCAGATTTTCCAAGACAGGAACAGCGACTACTATCTGGTAAACTATGAAAACAAGTCTAAAGGTAAGTATTTGTGATTCTTTGCATGTCGGGAATCTCTCCCGATCTGACTCTGCATACAGTAACAGAAGAGGAGCACGTCGGCATGCTTTTCATCGAAAAATCCAAGGTCGAAGAGTTCAAGGGCGTAGTCAAGGATGGGCAGATCACAGTCAGCGAGAAATTCCAATATGGTCAACCCAACAAGGCCGGGAACAAGAGATTCCTTGTCTACCACAACAAGGACAACAAACCCTACCAGCACCGATTTGTTGATAACATGCTCACCAAGTACGGCTCCATGGGAGCAGAGGCACTGGAGAAAATGGGCATGATGAAACCAAATGAGATGGTCGACTTGATTTCTGGCTTAGAGCTTACTTTGAATATATTGTCTCCTTAATTATTATTTACTTTATAGCCCTTTATATAGTTAGGCCTATATAGATTTATATAGTAAATCTGAAATAAGTTAAAAAGGAAAAAAAAAAAAAAAATAGTAAAAGTAATTTTTTATATGTTTTTTAACGTTATAAAATTATATAATAAGATAAAAAAAGCCTTTATACTAATTAGAAAACTACTTTATAAGCTCTTTATTTTATTTTATCTATACTTTTAATAAAGAAAACAAGAATTTAATAAAGTTAAAGTTAAAAGAGTAAAGAGATAAATATATTAATTAAATGTTTATCTTTTAGTATATATT